GTAATAAATTTCATTTTTCATTAATTGAGTATTAAATTTGGTCACTTTAAAGTTATTGTAAGAGTTATCGATTCAGGTCATTCAGGCTGATTTAAACCTTATGGCGGCGACAATAAATTGATGTGTAATCAAAATTCCTAGCTTTAATATTGCATCTTCAGCCAATTAAAATAAAATTCAAATTACATTTTTTTGTAATATGAATTTATTTCTCTTCCTCCATATCAATTTTTGGTATAATATTTAATTGGTCCATTCTAATATATTTGATTCTGCCAACAAAAATTTTACACTTAGTAGATATATTTTTGATGAATTAAGAATTTATATCACATAATCCAAATAATTCAACATCCTCCTCCGAGCTTGTAGGCTCGACCGGGTAATTAAAGGCTTCCTCATCTTTAAATCTCATTCTCTATCCTTTTTTCATTTCCTGGGTTCTCTAAATTTCATCGCATTTATTCTAAGCCTCCTCTAATTCACATATATCCACAGATTGGGCTCAGACAAACATCAGGATGCACTAAATATGAAATCATTAAGAAAATAAATTTTGAAAATATTTTTATTTTTATCTTTCATTATCCTTTTTTTCATAATCACAATTGTAATTGCAAATTAATAAATTCAATGTTCAGTTAATTAATTTTTAATTTATTTTCTTGAGATAAACTTGATCTATTTCAAACAAAAATGCTGAATTTTTGATAAAGCCATCAAGAGGAGTTAAATTTGAATCCTTATTGAAATTTGAAATTCTTTTAAACTTAAAGATTTTCCAATATTCTAAGCAATATTAACTGTAAAATACAAATAATATTTATATTTTATTCACACGTCATGTTTAAGTGTGACAATTTCGATCAATTTATTCTATGGTAAGAGAAGTCGGAATTGGAAACAAATAAAAAAAGACCTAAGATACTGTTTGAAAATTTTCTATGGCTTATGATGATAAAAATGAGGATGAAGTTATTAAATTTATGATTTCAGAAGTGATTGGAAGTCTCAATGATATCAAATTACATTAAGACACAAATACTCAAGGACTCAAATAACAAGACATTAATTTAATAATTATTTTAGTTTGATTACATCCTAATAGATATATAAGATGAAGATTTTTTAACTTTTTAAGAATATTCCTACTTATCAAATGGCAACCATTTGAGAAACAGAAGAATTCTATTTTATTAACCTAGAGACCACTCAAAATATCTTTCATCTAAGGCAGTAAGATGAACTAAAATATTTAATACCCTATGTTCTTCTTATTCAAAGATATTTCTGTGATTAGAAATTGGATTTCTTCATATTCTTTTAGACAATAATTCTCTTAATTAAAATAGCAACCTTAATTTTTCAAAAAATTGATATTTTCTGAATGCCACTCATCTAACAATTTAAATACTGTAAATTTTCGACCTCTTAGATTTCTTTTTCTACTTAGCATCTATTTTGATCTGAAAAGAGAAATTCTAAACTCTCTTATGAATGTTTAGGTTACAAATCTTCATTCTGCTGATTTTACAAATTCATTTCTATTTTTGCAATAAGATGAGATGTAAATTTAAGTAAATAGTGATTCAAAATTTAATAGCGCAATAGGAAAATATTTCAGCCTCTAGTTTATTATAATTTTAATTGGATTATATTTATTTTTATCCACAATTAATGATATTAAAATTAAAGCTTATTACAGCCTGATTTTGATATTTGTTTCAAAAATAAAATAAAATACACTCTATTTATGTTTAATACTAATATTGATTTGTAATAATTCAAATATATATTTATTTTTAAAATGAAAATTATCTCTTAGTTTTTCGCACTGAAAACTTTTATTTATGTATTACTTGTCCTTCCAAAACTAAAATGTTGCTCATATAGTGATTATGAAGATGCCTTACTGCCACTAGAGTCTCCAAGTTTTAATTAACTAATCAATTTTGAAGAAGGAATTTCATTTGAATTTGGGTTTTGGAGTTTATGTGTTCCCTAATAAAGATTGAAAGATGTCTCCTTTGTTGATTAAGAATTTGAAGCCAAACAACCTGAAGATGGATAATTCTTGTTTTTAATTAAAGAATAGAATGGTAATTCAATGATAGGATTTATAACAATGAGTTTATAACCTGATCTAGTTATTCATAAAATAACTATTAGTGGATAAGAACAAACAACATTCAACTTTAATTACGATCCAATAATATATGAGGGAAAATGGATTTTAAATGTTTTTTCTTACAACTTCCCTGAAAAGAAAATATATTTTGAGATGACTGATTAAGCCAAATAAAGTTGGGATATAAATAGCAGCCAAATTTATACCTAAATCTTCTTAGGAGGAAGAGGATTAGTAATAATATATTGTAATATTTATATAGATTGAGAAATTAAACCTAAATAGTTTTAAAGGGAGATTGTCCAAGATCCTGATCAAAAAGGTGGAAAATTTAGAAGAAACTTTATTCTAATATTTGAATAATTATTGCTAGATACCTTTCCCATTACAAGGGGAGTAAAAGTCCTATTTGGTTAAAGGACTGTAAGTATTTGATGGCGAAACATCTCACTAATATACAATAAATTAATTTGGCACTAGATACTGCTTATCTGGATGGATAAAATATGATGCATCAAGAGTAATTGAGAAATCGACTTATCCTTTAATTAGAATTAGTCTTTTTAAAAATTATTTTTAATAAACATATTTTGGTGATGAAATATTTGTTTTATAAGCACACCTAAACAAAATTGAACCAAGATTAAGTTAAATTGAAATTTATAATGATTTCCATATGATACCTGTAGTTGGAAAGATTGGTGGCCCAACAATTAATTATTCTCCAACTCTTTTTAATGATGGGTTTACTACTCGCTATTTTGAAGGGTTATAATAATGGCATTATTTACACTATGAATAAGGTTCAACAAGTTAATTTAAGACTTTATTATATGTGCAATTTTTTAATGAGTTAAATCTCTAAAGAAAAATGAAAAATATAGCCTCAACATGTAATTCCCCTTTTTATCTTTATTTGGGATCGGATGAATTTGCTATAGAATTGCTTCAAGCTTCCCTTTATGATTTCAAATTCGAATACAATTATATGGATGATAAATAGATGCTATTTAATGGTATAATTGAACAATTAATATTAGCTTGTCATTACTCTTGTCAGACTTGTGATGGGCCTCTTGAAAATAATTGTGTCAATTGTTAAGAAAATGTTAATAGACATTATTTGGTTGAACAAAAAAAATGCAAATGCAAACACGGATATATCGATATTCCAGATGAGAAGGTTTGTAGGGCATTTGAAGTAGAGTATTCTTCGGTTTACTAAATAGAAGGAACACGTTATGCTGAAGGTTAATGTGAATTTGGGTACTTTCTCTCTCCAAACGAAAACCATTCTTTTGAATGTAAAATTTGGTAATATATGTAATTAATTTTAGTCCATAATCCAATTCCTATGACATTCTATGTGTTGATTGCATTTATTATCCATTAACTTGGTATTTAAAACCAATATGTAAACACGACCTAATCTCTTAAAAATATAATGCTTAGAGTGCATTCGAATAAGTAAAGAGAGATGAATTTAACTATGACTTTTATCTTATTGATTTAAATAATGTAATCACGCTTCATTAAGGATTTATGGATTTTTGTGACATAGAACTAGACTCTAGTTGCTTTAAAACTAAATATTTACATTTAGGCAAATACGTAAATGTAAAATGTAAGCCTAATTACTATTCTTAAAATGAAGATTGCATCTTCACAAATATCAATTGTTTACTAGCATCAAGTGATGGAAATTGTTTACAAACTAAAATAGGGATATATCAATATAACAACTATTTCTATGAATGCCCATTGACTTGTTTAACTTGTGAGCATAACGCTGACTCTAACAGCTTAAAATGTTAATCTTGTTTGAAGGGTTATGCTTTAGATAATGGAGAATGTGTCAGTTGTGGAAATTTCTGTGCATTTTGCCAGAAATATCATGATTCTAATACAGATACATAATATCTAAGATGTTTAAAATGCTTAGATGATTCAAAGTACTTTTTATCATTTGATGGTATAAATTGCTTTGAGAATAAAATCTAGAATTGTCACTATGCTTTTTAGGCCTTATCAAATGATTTCTAGGTTAATACTCTAGATCTCAACTTTACCCCAAGAAATGATTGGCAAAATATTATTACAACATGCGGGAGATGTCATTATAGTTATGTTCTAATAATGGAAACCAATATTTGTTTATTATAACCTGATGACAAGTGTTTTTTTCTATATGCTGAAAATTTTAGCAATTCTACTATTTTTGATGAATTTACAATAGATAATTTGCTCTAGACGTATTATGTTGAAAAAGATGATGGTGAATTGATATCTCTTGCATTTGATCCTAATGATTTTAGTATTTTTGCTACATCAATACAGTATTGTATGATTCACTAAATATATACTGAATCAATAAGATATAATATTGTTCAATTTAATCTCTAATGTCCAGGATACATAGAAAATTGCGAAACATGTATAAGAGAGAAGGTAACATATGCAGGTATAGTTCATATTTGTTTGATATGCAATCAGGGATACTATGCTGACAGAATATCAGGTAAATGCTTCCAATGTCCATCAGATTTGAATTGTTAATATTGTACTTAACAGTAAAAGCTATTGAAGGATGCTTGGAAAATATATATCAGAGCTTTTTATTAACTTTTTATTAATTCAAATGATGATCATCCCTTTAAACTTTATGCATAAAGTGAGGTGTAAGATGATTATGAAATTATATGCACTTTTTGTAGAAAAGGATATGAATTAGTAAATGAAATTTGTATAAAAGCTTGTCCTGATTCATGTTTAGAATGCCAATATATAAATGGAAGGAATTAATGTATAAGATGCCAGCTAGAATATTAAGGAAGAAAATTAAGTTTATCAGAAAATGAATGTATAGAATGTCCTTAAAATTGTGCATTATGTAGGATTCGATCATAAGAAGAAATTTAATAAATTAATCCTTTTTTTAATAATGATAATTATATCACACACACATACTAATGTTTATAAAGTTTTGAGGATTAAGACTATTATTTTGATCAGTAATTAGGAGGCTTCATTGATTGTATCAATGTAAACTACTGTGAAAAATAACTCCTAATTCCAATTAATTTATTTTGCTCTTAATCAGATTTCATAAACGCATTAAATGAAGAGTAGACTGATTACAACAAGGAGTAATTTAAAAAAAGCAATATAATCTTGGAGGATCTTGTTTCTGGATCCAGTTTTAAAGAAGTAATTATCATTCTTTAATTAATTAGTTTGAGAATAATCATTTTTATTTCTAAGTTAATTCTAAAATGATTAAGACAATTGTTCTTCAAATTAAAAGTGTCAAACCTTAAACTTGTAAAATTAATGGAAATGCAACAATTTAATAGATCTTTAGTTAGAATATTTTTTCTGCTATGTAAATTGTAACCTTTATCTTTCTAGAAATGTTGAATTGTAAATAAATTTTAATCAAAATACTATCGTTGAATTTGAAAGAACTGTCACATTTTAGAATTTTAGAAAAATTTCAATATTAGGAGGTATATTCTAACCTTTGTCAAACAATTATTTAAAATAACTAATATTTTAAAGCTTATTACCATAAGTGATTCTTATAGATTCTTTTAAATATTAGCAAATCTCATAGAAAATAGACTAATCTTAATTAATTTTTTAAAATGTGAGTTAATTAAATATCAATAATTTCAAAATAATAAATCTTATTCAAAATAATATTGATAAGTTTATTTAAATTACAAATACCCCCTTTGTTAAATTAATTAAATTTCAAAATTTTGAGATCTTAAATTCAATTCTAAACAATTAAATCACGCTTTTTTTTTATCTAAACAACTAAGATATCATCGATCTATCAGATTTATATATCAATGCACAGTTTGCTAATTCAACTTTTATAGAAACTGGAAATTCTTAGTAAAATGGGGATCTTACTATTAAAAATATTAATTTTAAAATAGATTTACTTAATTGTTTAAAATTCATGAGCTGGATATATTTTAATCACATAGTTATATCTGGAATTTCAATTATTAATTCTATAATTGACAACTCAACTCTTATCATTCTTAATAATTACAATAGTTTAAAAGACTTAACGATTAAAGACAATTAATTTAAATAATTAAGTTATGGAGTTATTAATTCTAATTAATCATTTGAAAATAATTTAACGATGGAGTTTACTAATATTATTTTAGATCATAATGAATATGATTAAACTACAAAACTTATTTGTTTTAACAAATACAATAACGCATATTCTTTTATCAAAATCAATAATTTAATAATATCTAGTAATTTTGCTACATCTATTGATTCGAATTTTAATTTGAAAACCTAAAATCTTGCTCTAATGTACATTTAACTAGATGAAGTCTATATATCAAATATCAATATTTATAGGGGATATGGATTGAAAGAAATTAGTATACAAAATGCAAAAGTTTTAAGACTAATATCTAGTAAAATAACTTAAAGTGACGAACATAAATTTCTTGGACTTCATTAATATCTTGATTGCCAATTATAATAAGTCTAAGGTCAATACTATTTATAATCCCTCTTTATTACTTCCGTGATTGATTTTGAAATAATTGATATGCAAATAAGAAACATTTAATCCTACAATTCTCCAGTCATATATTACAAGTCTTCTGATAGCATAGCACAATCATAACTAGAATCAATACGTTTAGTTAATTTCGTTGTTGACTCAAATTTATTGCTTCTATCAAATTCATAATTTTAAACCGCAATCATTTTTATAGAGTCCATATAATAGACTATTTTAGAAGTTAAGAATGTTTCATTTATAGGCAATATTTTACATGAATATGTTTAGAACAATCTTCAAATCTCGTCATTATTATTAAACTTCAATTGCATTTTGGGCTTTATAACTATTACCAACTCTCATTTTTCTTAAAATACCCTCTATAACAGCACAGATAATTTAATATTCATAAAAAGCCAATAGTTGAAGATGACAAACAATACTTTTTATCAAAATAGTTATTTTAATTATTAATATATGCAACCATTTTTATTATGGGGATTTGGAGAATCAGAAAAAGTATCATATCAACAAATAAACAGTATTTTTTAAGTAAAGTCAAATTCAGGAGTTGGTTAGTTTAAGGTGGAGAACCTGGAAATCAAGTTTTGTCATTTTGAGTAATCTGCAGGGTATTAAGGAGGAGCATTATATATTGAAGCCTAAAGGAATAGTATAGTTACAATTTCTGAGACTTAATTCAAGAATATTTCGACTTTATTTTCCAAAGATTTAGGATAAGGTGGATCGATATATTTAGATGGAACTACATCAGAAACTCTTAACTTATCAATATCTCAATTAACAATTAATGATATCAGTGCTAAAGAAAATGGAGGATTCATTTACATAAAATCAGATTCTCCGATTATTTCAATTTCAATTATTCAATTATATATTAGAAATATCTATTCTAAACTAGGATCTTTCATTTATGTTGTTTTTTCTACTGTACCATAGGTATAGTAAATAGTTAAACTAGACTCTATTTTTATTCAAAATACTTAAGAGGGATTTATGAATTATTTAAATTAATATACTTAGTTATCTAATTCAGATCAACTAGCTTTGATAAATAATAGAGCCTTATTTTACTTTGATTCTGTTATTAATCTAATCATTTAAAATATGGATATTTATAATATCTTTATGGAATCTGCTGTTATAATCAAAAATGCTTAAATAGTTGCTATCAACAATTTTACAGCTTCTCATGGTCTTATTAATGATTGTTTACTAAGATTGAATCAAAATTTATGTATATATTTTTATGATATATTTTAGATGAATCAAGCAAAATTTAAATAAATAATCTAGAAGTTTAGAACATTTCAATAGTATTGTAGCTAAAGAACTATAATTGCGAATAATCGACTTTTTTAGATTCAAAAACATATTCTTAATGCATTTCTAATTTTAGAAAGAAGGCAGCACCACTCAAATTGCAGTAATAGTCTACAAATTAATATTTTTCTTATGGAAATTGTATCATATCACAAATTTAAGAATAATATGAACAGGAAGAGAATGTCATTCTTGTTAATGAAAATTCAGGATTGCTCTTATTCTTAGATCTTACAGATATAACTTAACTTAAATTAAACAACCTTATTTTTTCGTAAATAAATTGTAGGTTCTGCTAAAACGGGTTGATATTTTATTAATTCTTGAGAGTTGAAGATTTATTATTAAAGTAATAGATTTCGAGCCTTAAAGTAACTAATTCGTAATGTGGATTATCTGGTTGTTTTTAGATTACAAAAGTAAATGGTAATAGATTGCTTACACAAACTGAAGTGAATATTTAATAAATGAATTTAGAAGTTTTTATAAATAACTATGTTTGTCAATATAACATTGCTTAAAATGGAACCTGCTTATTTATAGAAAATGTTAGAGTCCTGATATCTAATTCAATTTTTTAATATAATAAAGCATCTGAAACAGGAGGTGCCATATTTGTGAAAATGAAGCAAGATCTCTTGATTACAAGCAGTGTAATATCTCACAATTCTGCTTATATAGGAGGAGGAATTTATTTAATTGATTAATAGGATATCGATTACTTTAATCTAAATACAATTGTGAATAATAATTAAGCTTAGTTTTTTGGAGAAAATATCATATCAGTTCCCCAAAAATTGACAATAACTATATAAAGTGAAATTACAAAATTAACCACAAAATCTATTATAAAAAGTTAAGATCTTTTGATACAATAAGTTATTGTTTAATAAAATGCTTTGAACGAATAATAGTTTCTCTATTTGCCGAGTGGTTAATAGATTTCTCTTTATGAATATTTCTCTAAAGCGAATCGTACTTACACTACTTTGAATGAAAAATTCCGTGTTTTAGCTTTGGGTAAGGATAATAGCATAATTAAAAATCTCAAAAACTCATATTGCACCATCGATAGCAGAAGAATTAATATAGCAGAACATTAATATGAATAAGTTCCTTTTAGTAACAATTTTACAAACTTTGATAGTGTATATTTTAATGAATAGACGTAAGATTATAATCTTGATGATTTAATTGTTTATTTTGATAATGAATTACCACCTCATATAGTATTATAATTGTAATTTATGTGCAATTCTGTTGTAGTTGCTAATTATAATTAATAATACCCATATAATTTATTAAGCACGCATTAAAATTATAAATTAAGGATCAATATTAAAACTTTGCCTTGTTAATTTGGAGAAATCAAAAATTATACAGATTATTCTTGTACTCCATGTGATAATAATTAAGGATTATTTTCAATAACTCTTAATTCTTAGAAATGTGAACTTAAGGATGAAATTTCGACAATTAGTGTCAAATCAGCTCTATTAAACTTAAAATTTGGTTATTGGAGACCATATTTTTAAAGTAATTTGGTAAGTTATTGTCTGAACTTACCTGAAAATTGTCTAGGTGGTTGGCTAGAAGGCGATGAATCCTGTTTTACAGGGCACATTGGAGCATTATGCGAACAATGTGATTTGTATAATATTCGAGGACATGGACAATATTCTATTAGTTCGAAATACTCATGCGGACTCTGTACAGAAAATAATAAAAATATAATAATTATTACATTAGTTAGTATTTGGTATTTTATATTATTAATTAGGACTTTGATCTCTATTTTGATTTCAGTTCAAAGTACAATTAAAGCCATCCAAGAATTTGTTAGAAATTTCTGCTTTTAAAAAATGGGATTAGCAGTTAACTAGACAATAAATTAATCAGCAATTCTAATTAAGATGCTTACCAATTATTTATAAATAATTTCATCTATTGGTACATTTTAATTAAAACTACCAATCGCACTTGAAAGTACTGTAAATGCAATGGGATCTCCAATTTAAGCAATGACTTATTCTTTAGATTGCTTCTTATAATAAGCTTTTCAAACAGAAATTTAATATGCTAGAATGATTTGGTAAATAATTATGCCATCAATTTATATCTCTGTTTTTCTTCACGGATATTTATTTTTAATTCTCAGGAAGCATCTTTCTTTTAATATCTGTGTTATTACTACTACTTTTATTTACATGTACATCTATTTACAACCAAGTGTGATTGGAGGGTTTGTGTAGCTAATCTCGTATAGAGAGATTTCAGGATATAAATGGATCTAATCAAATGTGTCATAGAGATATGACACATCTTACCATGAACAATGGATGCTTAGACTTTGCTTTCCTTTACTTTTCATTTTTGCCATTTTCATTCCCATTTACTTTTTCTATGGACTTTATCATAATTCTGAAAAACTGGACTAAAAGAAGGTGAGACTTTAATGGGGTTATTTGTATAATGAATATACTAAATCTGCTTATTTTTGGGAGGTTATAAAAATCGCTCAAAAAGAATTGATGATCATTTTCTTAACCTATTACGATGATAGAATAATAATTAAAGCTACCATTATTTTACTAATTACTGGATTATATTTAGAATTAAATAAGAATTATAAACCTTACAAATAAAGTGCTTTAAATCAATTAGATTGTTATTCTACCAATGTATGTCTAGCATCAATTGTTTTAGCCATAGGTATCTATATTTCATAATAATCAAACTCCATTGAAATTTAAATTCCGTATTAAATCATAATAATAATACTTAATATTCATGTGACCTATTTGTTAATATCCAAAATAGTAGTGGAATATTTCAAAGAAAAAACAACTGGTTATTAAGATAAACTTGATATAGTAAGATAGGCAATTAGAAAACGATTCCCATCTTTTTAAAAAATCGAATTTTTAAGAAGAGTTTTGAAAGATCGAAATGAGTAGCGAATTCGAATTAAAAAAAATTACTTGAAATTGAGAGGTTTTTTGATTCCTTTAGCTAAGGAAATGATACTTATAAAAAAATCATCATGTCAGGTTTCTATTGAGAGAAACTTAGACTCGAACCTTAATACTAATCATTTGAGTCTAAGAAGTCCAAGCTTGGCTCGAGAAGGATAATAGTTGATCAGAAATCCTTAGTTGGCATATTCTTTGAATTCCTCAAAGAATATTACAAATTCCTATGCATTTGATAGAATGTAATTAATACGAGTTATAAAACATTATAGGAGAAGTCGATAAAATCATTAAATATAGTAGACCTTTGATACTAACCAATACCCCACAGAATTGAAGAAAGATGAAATTAAAGATATTCAAGATGAATGAGAAATTTAGTTTCCATTATTAAACCTCTTATATTATTTTTTCACATGTTTGTTTATAAACTCCTTCTTAAACATTTAGATTAATTTACCATTTATATTTTAAGTAATTAAAGAATAAAACTTGTAAGAGCTCATCGATGTATTCTACAAACTTTATCTTGCATGATTCTTTTTGTTTAATTTTAAAATGTCTTTTATTTTTATCATATTTATAGATTATATGTTTAATTATATAAAACTAATTATTTTGATTTCATATAAAATGGAATAAGATCAAAATTATTTGAATATTTTCAATACTAATTGAATTCAAACATTATTAAATAAATTATTCTAGAAGAGAGTATATTAGATTCGATTTTATGAATTTTTTTTGTAGAGCAACAAGAACCAAATTTCAGGTGAAATAAAAGGTAATAAGATTTATGGTTGATCAGACACTTATTCATTTATTGACAAAAATAGAATGATCAGATTATATTTTATCTAAATTATTATTAATAAATTATGGAAACTCTTATTAATTTGATAGGAAACCTTAAAATACATATTCTGATCAAATTATTTGCCTTGTTTTGCATTCCTAGCATATTATTGATGTATATAGTCTTTCTACCAATAACATTACCTATTTCTATTTTGTTATGTTGGAATTATAAATTTCAAGTATTTTGATTCACAATGTAGATCAAATAACAATTAAAAAAGTAATATTAATCTGCATGCAGCTTTATATTCAATGCCCTCAATTCCTCACTAATATTTGCATGTTAATATATGCTTAATGAAGTAATTGATCTCATGTGAATAATAGCCACTCTTTGAATTGTTACGAATTATCAAAGAATCTCGATTGATTATACCTCCTGTTATTAAAATGAAGAGATTGATTGAAGTTAACTTGAAATATCTATTGAATTAGAGATTGATATAGATCTTGATTTAATTTCTCAATCCATTTTTTAAATATGTCTAAAGCTTCATAAAAACAAATATAATATGGGTAATTGATAAAATAACCTTTTTAGAAAGATGTAGTTTAATTTTACGCAAACTTCATTGTTCCATTTTATATATGGATCAGAATTGATAGCTTTGTACGAAATATTAATGAAAAATTAGTAACAATTCCAATTTATGATCAGATATTTATTATGTTTTAGTACTAATTATGATATATCAAGAAATTCCATCCTGAATGAGCCAATTAAATAAAAAGTAGATTAGGAATTGGATTAATTTAAAATGTAGTTACCTTAATATGCTATAACCTAATTTTGGAAAAACAAAACTTTAAAAGATTAAGTAATTTTAGAAATTGAGTGTGGCTATGCTGCTGGTCTATCTTATATTGCAGAAACTTACGGTCCTCAAAGGTGCTTAGGATTTGATTCATCATAAAGTTAAATATTAAACAATCAAAAAGTTTTTAATCATTAGATTAATTTAAAATTTGAGAACATTTCTCCAAATGAAATCAAATCACTGCATTCACCAAGTCAAGTTGATGTGATTATTGGAATTGAACTTAATAACAAATATGCCTTTAAAAATATCAATATGAAAAGGTTGTAATTAAAAGATATTTAGTTATTTGGAATCAGCAATGAATTTATTAAAAGAAGAAGGGTATTTAATTCTCTCTAATTTTGACACTAAATAAAATATTTCGCAATAGGAAGAGTATCTTAAAATTGAAGGATTAAGCATGATCGAAAAATAGGATTTTACAATTGGATTGGCTTAAGCGATGCAATTGCAAATAGCATACATTAAATAACATTAGTAAATTCAAGGGAATTGGAGTAATTTATATTATAATCTTTAGTTTCTACATTTATCGGGAAGAGATTACAACCTTATGAAGAAAGATTATAATAAGTAAAAGATGGACAACAAATTTATATGGTTTACATAATGAAAAAGAGCAATTTTTGACTTTATTTAAAATAATATTAAAAAGAATATATATTTATGACTCTCATTTCTCAAGAGCATTATTTTTTCATCATCTTTTATCTCTCTTGTTCCAAAACATTTAGTAATATGTCTGACATCTCTGTGTTCAGATTGAATAATTTTGCAAAGTTCTTGACGACATCTTGAGGGTCTTAATCTTCATACAGGGCCAATCTCCCTTATTTACCTGGACAGATATTCACATCCATAATAACAATGGGTTTTTTTTTTAATTTTGGTCTATTTACCATTTATGGGGGATTGAATGGAGAATTTCTCAGTTTTTCTAATTATTCTCCAGTGGATACACTAAATATAAGTTGATTTCATACTGATTTAATTTTTCTTTTTGTTCTCTTGCTCTATTATTGGCCTTTCTCATTCTATCCACCATTCTATCGTAGTCTTTTGGAGTGCTTGCATTTGTTGTTGATATAGGGATGCCATCATTAATTAAAGGTGTGAATGTGCATTAATTCAACTCTATTAATTCTTTTTATTCCTAAGTTTTTCTTATATTTTCCTCTTAATACAATCTTTTTTAATGAATAGACTCTTAAGTATATAATCTACTCACCACATCAATTGTAGAATTTTATGAGTAATTTTAATTAATCTTAGGCTGGAATGTACATTCCTTCATCTTCTCTTCCTATTTTTAGATCTATTATTTTTATATTTCTCTATTGAATTCTTCCTTTTTTTTCAATAGAACATCGATGCAACTTTAACTTTGCGTACTTAATTATTTATCCATGTATCTTTGTCTGTTTTGATAAGCTAAAATTTAAGATTTCTAATTTATAGATGGAGCATGTTTCTCCTTGACATCCTCAATTTCTTTTTTTTTGTCTGGGTAAGCTGAGAAAATCTAATTTTATGTAAGTGCTCTAAATTGAATGACTAATCTTTTTGCCTAATCGAATTTTTAATTGTAATTGGTGACTTCGTAGTTTAGGAAGTCTAAAACTAATTAAGCTGTTTCCTCGACTGACAATTTGACTGGGTCCATCAAGATTCTAAATACACATAATACCATTTAGGTTTCAACATATTCATGTTCACCATCTTACGATACTAGATTCCACAACATTTCATGCATCAACATCTAAATATATAGAGATGTAAAAATACCTCTTATTTACCTCTTAGATTAAGAGGTTAATCACTATTTAATACTATATTACAAATATAAATTTACATTTGCCTTCGCTATCAAAAATAATTTCTTGGAATATTTTTAAATCAGTGAATGCTGCCCCAATTTATTCAAATTCAAGTCTTTCGCTTTTGAATCTAGATAATGAATCCGAAATTCTTTGTTGTAATTAATTGGCAATTATTGCATAGGAATTTTCTGTGATCTTCTTCTTGTTTGATAATGCTTTGATCTCTGCATTAATCTATGCATTATATATATCTGTAAACCTAATCTTATAAAAGTTGATAACGTTGTTCCTATCTATAGAAACGATTGTAAAATTTGGTGTTCTTAATTATACAAATTTATACTTATAATTATTCTTTCGTTATGGTTGGGCTTTGAGACCTCGGTATTATGGTTACCAACTCTTGACGATTGGCAGGTGAAACAGAACGAGATGTCTTTTCTCTAGTTTGAAATTACATTTATAATTAATAACAGAACTTAATCATGTAGCAAATTAAGTATTATGTACGAAGTATTAATTACTTATTTTAATCATTAATAATTTATGGATCACATAAATAAAGACAACCTCCATGATCTAAACAAAAAGTTAACCGAAGAAAACCAAAGACTTTCGCTTCTCGTCTATGGTTTATAACGACAATTACAAAATGCTGCAGTTCAGATTAATTATGTGCAATCAATTGAACAAAAATTGGAGTTGCTGCAATTTGAGATTATTCAATTGAAAAAGGATAATTAATTACTACAGGAATAAGCATTCGTTCATATTGAGTAGTAGATGCAAAGGGACTAGCTCTAATTGGAACTTGACTCTATGAAATCTTAATACGAGTAGAAGTTACAATTTCTGATTAAGGAAAATAAGAGATTAGGAAGGCTAAATAAAGAGATCTAAAATAAGTAAACTAGTTCTATTGAAGCATCAGCATCAAAATTGATTGAATTAAGCAATGAATTAAAAATTAAACTGGAAAATTTCAATTAATAATCAAATAATCTAAATTAAACCGTGATTGGTCCAAAAGGGTTGACTAAGAAGATATATGATAATTTAATCTAACAATTGTAAACCACAGAGGAAAAGTCATTCTAAATTACACAGTATTTGATTATAATTTATTTTAGTGCTAAGAGATTTCCAATGATACAAGTAAAGGAAGTAAAATAATAACAAAAAAGCATGGTAAGCATACCTGTCGTTTCGAGTATTTCAAGTATAAAGTGAAAATGATTACATATTACTAAATTATTGGATCTATATAATGAATATTTATCAATTAATTAATAAACTTAATGTCTGTTGCACCTTCCCAATTTGAAAAATGCTACAAACATCCATCGAATGACATAGTCCTTTTTTGTATGTCATTGGAATGCAGATAGGTTTTAACTATATTCTATCAGAAATTGAGTAGCCCTTATGCAAAGATTGTTGTAAATTACATGTGCAATAACATAATTAAAACGGTACATAAGCACAATTAGATACGGTTGATAATGTAAGACAGCAGCTTCTGAATAACGTGCATATTATGAGAACTAAATTTGAAGAGTATAAATATATTTTCTAATTTGAAAAGAGAGAGAGCTATTTTGCATCATTTTAACGTGGGTGAATCTCCCGAGTTGGTGAATTAAATACAAAATAAATTACAAAAAGTAAAATCGACTTTAATGGCAGCAGTCAATTAGTATTGTATTTAATTAGAAGAGTAAGTTAAATAGAAAATCTTTTTGCAAAAAGTAATTTCAAAATTTTTGATTAATAGTAATCTCATCCGGGAGAGAAAAAAGATCTTCACCATAAATTCAATTAGATTATTCTTAGCTTAGATTAATAGGAAAAGATGTTACTCTAACCAAAATATATAAGAGGTTGTTTGATGGTGATGAGTGATGAGTAGCATCATGATTTCGAATAGCTAACATTAGAAGTTGATGATGCACTCAAAATGTATTTATCTAATGCCTTTGATGTGTATGTTCATGAAGAGAAGCTCTAGAAAATTAGCTAAGCCTTTACAGAATATGTTGATATTTATTAAGCAAATTTGAACGAGGAATTGGAATTCTTATCGAAAAAGATTCGAGACACTAGTTAAGTCCCTCAAATGCCTAAGAAAATTGTATCGAATCAAAAAATAGCATAACAAACTATTCCAATTAAGGAGACCAAATAATTTCACTCCATTTATGATGAGAAATTCAATGGATCTAATTTCGCTAGTTAGTCTCAATTCAAACGGAGTTATGGAGATAAAAAATAGGAATAATATTATTAAAATATATATTAATGATTTGTATTAGTTATTATTTTTGCTTCAAGGTTTAGTAGGGTTATTGTTAATGAGGTTGATTTGAAGGATGAAATTGTTATTCATTCTATTACTGTTTTGGGGTCTGGATAAGCTAATAAAATTCATAAAATTTTATGAAAACTATAGTGAAATGATTAATATATTTAAATCTGACTTTGAAAGAAATCTCTAGTAGAGTTCCATACTCAATAATGCAGTTTAGTTGAATGTGACTGATCTGAAATTCTTGATGAAAGGATTCCAAGAGTAGCAAACTCCAATCTCAATAAGAACTATATTTAAGAAGTTTATAAATGCACTTCCAATTAAGGCCTCGTATAGAGTAAAATTAAAGATATTGGCTGCATGTCATGTGTTGTTAGATGATTTGATACATGGTGCCATATTTGCAGAGTATGCCAATGATTGGGATGGGTTTGTAGATGATTCTCATTCAATTGAAGATAAATTTGTAGATTATTATTTCCAAGTATTGCAAAGATTTGCTAATAGCATTGCTCTGATTAAGATGGTCAAAAGTTAGAGATCTTACACAATCAAATGTATTATTATTCATCTCAAGTTAGAATTTGAAGAATTTTAAAATATGTATTATAAAGCGATAAACTTATTAAATTTTGTATTTTGCCAAACCCCACTATTTAAAGATATTTTAGCATAGAACAAGGAAGATATAATTTATGAACTATTATTACTTTTATGGAATGATGTCATTGCATTATACCTCTTTCTAGAAAAGTAATTTTTAATTTAAGTCTAGATTAATTAAAGAGTTTGAGTTGGAATATTCATCCCTCTAAACCCCAGTCTTCTTTTAAATTTATTAATTACTTCCAGATATATAGAAGATTTAGAATTCCATAAAAGAATTTTATCAATTGCATTATTATCATAAAATTGAAAAGCACATCAAAGAACCCTATTGGAAAGAAATAAATGAAAAAAAACTGGAAGAAATCCACAAATACAATATTATTGTTAAAATATCTACAACTAGACACAAATTGTAACAGCAAGCAAGAAGAAGGAATTTAACATTAACACCTCAAAATAACTGTCAATAATAATATTTTTCAAATACAACCCTTGGGTATCTAAAGAGACTCTCCACTTCTGAAGATCCATTTGAAATAAGTGTGCAGGATAACTTTGGATATCAATTCACATAATAGTGAAATTTTATTTTTATTTATGATATATGATGAATGTAATTGTTCACTCCTGTCCTAAGACAATGAATATGAATCTTTGATTATCTAAAAATCTAATTCTATCAAAAATATTTGTCTAACCAAAACCTTCTAAATCTTATCTATAAATATAGTAAGAAATGTATACTGATTATTAAGGCTCTCTATTAGATCTAATTTCGTTCTCAATTTCCAATCAAAACAGCAGTTTCAAAGCAGAATATATGGTTGCAGTACAAATGAAGTATTAATACTGATATAATATATTTGTTATCTAAATGCTTATATCGTAATGCGAAATATATTACTTTTGGATGATGATCTATATAAATAGAATTCTTTTGTTTTCATCATATTATTAATTGAAATTATATTATTCATTAATTAATAATGCATATCTAAAACTTTATAAAATATAAAACATAATAAAAATGGTTAACTACAATTGAATGATAAGATTATTACTGAATTTATTGAAATTAATTTAAATGATTTATTATATTCAAACCTTTCTTAAGGCATAAATTAGATAAAGTGTTTTTCTTTCACTTAATTCCTAAAATATACGAGAACTCTAAACACCACTAAATTTACTAAAGAAGCTTCTGAAGACTATAATAATAATATAAATGCAATATACTTATTCCACAATGTCTAGTCATCCATTATTACTTCCTCTTCTCATCCAATTTCAATGCTTAAAGGACATTGATAGTAATGTCTTCCTTGGTTTCCAATTTCTATTAATATAGTCATATCTTATACCAATCCTGTTGATTAGAGATCTTCTTCAAATTGCTTAATTTCTTAAATTGCTCTGAAATCGGTAATAACAAATAAGCCTCCAGTGTTTAGTAATTTTGTAACTTCCTACACAAACCTTTAGAAATTGCCATAACAATGAGATGATTCGACGTTGATGATCAAATCAAATGTTTAGATTTGTAAAATAGTTAAATTTTCAGCATCTCCTTATTGAAAATTCAATTTTTGGTTTAATCCATAGGTGGTCTTACAAAAATCCACTTAATTCTAGGAATAATCGACACCAACACACGATTCAGGTTTTAAGGCTGAATGAATATAATACAATCCTCCTCCTCTACCACTTCCAACCTCTAATACTCGTTTTCCTTGAAGATCCTTTAATTTCAAACAATTTGTTGCCACCATGTGATATAATTAGAGGCAGAATCTTTCTTCTTCTTATTATTCATCCAAATTGTTGAGAATACGCCCATTTTCATTCAATAAAGCATATCCATAATTCAGAGCCCTCCATTTATTTAATGGGAAATATGCACACATAAAGTCATAGATAAATCCCCATAATAATTTTCTAGGTTTCTCACTCTAATAGAACAAATAGTCATATATTTTATGATAAACCTTTGTAAAAATATTTCGCACCTAATAATATAAATTTTACTTACAGGAGTATACTTAACAATTATAAATAACACTATTGTAATGGGGAAGAAGGTGATTGCAATAATCGCTAAAATCAAACCAGCAACAATGGCAATTGCAGCAAATAGAAAGAATAGGATTAAACTTTTGTTTTGTGGTGAAAGCAAATTCATATTATTTAATTTAATATAGTTTATTAGCGTAATATATATAAATATATAAAATGTATATGACTTGTTCAATTAATACTCATATTTATTGATGTTAAATTACCTTGATTGGATTGGGTAAATAATTGGTTATTTAGTTATTAAATTAATTCAACAAGGAAGATTTAGTTTAATATTAACAATAAAATATTTATAATATATTAATGTCTCAATTATTGAATTCTGTTTTAGGAGTTGTTGTTGACATTTATCGAGCAACTAGACTTGTGTTCATTTTAGACTAAAATACATTTGTATATTACTGTAGTTTCTAGTTTTTATAACAATTAAGCTTCTTGTTTTCTTAGCTCTTCAATTATGCTTAGTTTGTTTTCGGCTTCAATCATGTGTTAAGATTTCGAGTGATAATGATCCTGTTAATGCTTAAGATATCTTTATTTGTGAAAATTGCTGATGCTTTATTAAGCTAACTGTTCTTGAGTGAGAATCTATTGTTTTTGCTCATATTTTTATTATTTAAGGTTGTCGAGATTCTATCTAATAAGCTATTCATTTTTTTGAGATTGCTCCTTTATATTCTTGACTTCCTATTATTTCATTTGAAGGAAGTTTTATTAGATATAAATTTTCTCTTGTGACTATTGTCGTTTCAAGTTGCGTGTTCGAGATACCAAATTCTATATCTAAACATTTACTTATTCTCTATGCATTTATTTCTATATTTATGTAATTCATATACAAATTCCTTAAATTATTCATGATCTTCGCGAATTCGGGTTAGTTGTTCACTCTTCTGCTATTATATTTAAGCTTTCTTCTCTCTAATTAACGAATATCATATTTTAATGATACCTTATTTCATTCTCTAACTTTAGTAGTTAGACTCTTCTTTTTGCCTTTTCTAATTAGCGAGAAGCATCAAAAAATTCCTTTTTGGGACTCTGCTAAAAATTTTCTAGCTTTGGAGCTGATGATGAAAAGTAATAGGAAGGACTTCCCAAATTCGTTCTGCTCATTTAATATAATAATTATTTAATAATCATAGTGATTGTATCTCTTCGAAATACCTTAGTATTGGATTCATAATCCACTAAAAAATCTTAATAAATTAGTACTCTTTATGGTTTCAATCCTGTGAACCATTCAACGTGAGCACCTTTATTCGTCAATCCAACGATGATATTAGGGTTTTACTTGATTTGATCATAAGGAACGAGGAATTAGGGAACGATGGGATCATCCTTGGAGTGCATGATGAAGACAGGGACCTTGACGTCTTTGATGTAGTTGCCACATCCAATGTTTGAGTATAACTATTCAGGAGAATCAAAATCGAATAATCTTCTTGTAATAAGTTCGTCGAACTCATAAGTATTTTTGGCCTGTAACGCTTCTTAAATTTGAATTCCCTTGGTTTTTTCATTTTCAGCTAACGAACTCTGGTGTTGTTTGAGGAGCATTTTGAAATTACAAGTGATGGACCAGTCATATATTTTGTTCCTAAATTTCATGATGTTGTGTGAGCAATCCAAAAGATCATAGGGATTGGCAACCGAGAATATTCTGGTGACCTTGCATTTGTAACCCTCTTCTCCTGCATATTTCAATAGTAGACTTCCTCCAATCGAAAAGCCTAATCCGAATATTTATTGATCCTTCTATTTATTCTCTTATAAATAATTGATCACTTCTCTGAGGTCATTAGTACATCCATGAAAATGATATCGACTTGTTAATAATTCACAATTAGACACTCCCCTTTGATTAAAACATACTACTTGATAGCCAGCCTCTGCCAGAGTCTCAGCAGCATGTTTTATATAATTAGTTTCAGAGCCACCTGTCAACCCGTGAGTAATTAAAACAAGTGGTTTATTTGTAACAACATGCTTATTCTTCCAATCTAGTGCCAATTGTCCTCCATCGGACAATTTAAACAGTTATCTTTCAAATTCTGTGTCAAATTTTTTTTCCCAACGAGTAGCATATGCTAGTTACATCAATCGGTGAGGAATATAGAAAGTAGGCCTATACTTGATCTTCAATAAATATACAGTTTACATCCGCAAAAATGCTCAGAACGTGCTTCTCGATTGCTTCTGGATGGTGAATAAATTCCATGGAAGTATTCCAGAAGCATTCATAGCAATAATAGGCAGAAGCAGCCAAAGTTACAGCACCAGCCAAAGAAACTGTTCTCAGTCTTGTCAGGTACTTCTTATAGCCAAGCTTTGGTTTAAGTTATAATAAGGTAGTGGATCTTAGGATTGTTACAAACATAATTTTAATAATTGTCATTTCTGAAAAATTATTCAACTTATATGATGCGTCACCTTATAAAATAAAATAGTTTCTATATTTTAATCAACTCACGACTTCCTCATCAGTCATTCTATGCACTTATTATTTAAATTCTCTGTTATCATTATAAAAATTCAAATTTTATACTAATTTTAGAATAATATTTTTTATAATTCATTAAATAATTGTATTTCCAAAATTTTTATATTTTGTTAAGCACTATTTAATTTATTAGTCATAATGGTTAGGCCCTGGGAAATTATTCTTCTTCTAGGGAGCAAATTTCATTCCGATTGAAAATAATGGCCCACCCAATCCCTCTGTATCCTTATATTGGCCAGGACCAGGCACTTCATTTAAAAATGGCTTTTCCTTGAAAACTGAAATTGATTTGCCTTTCTTCTTGTATTTCTCCATTTCGAATACAGTGGGTATTGTATAAGATGCCGGAGATGGACGTAATACTTATTGAGGTTTGAAGCGTGAGTCAGTTCCAAAAGGTTTTCTTTTATTCTCCTTTTTTGGTGGTAATGGTATTTCATTAAATCGCTCTTCCATTATATATAAATAAAATAATAACTAAAATGAAATAAATATTTCAAAGTGCAATTATTTAAGAGTTATTCATTAGGAAATATCCAAAACCTATGAAATATTCAAACTGATAGTCATTGAAAATCAGTTAAGATCAACAACTAAAAGTGATCTTAAGTCTCTTTATTTCTTAAAAGAATGAATTGATTTTATAATATTAGAAGTAATAATAATTAGTTTAGACTTCATCTAAGACTCAATGGTAATCAATTAAGTTTTCTTAATTTCTAGTTAAGTAACTATTAATTATAAAATCGAAAATTTTGAAAACATTTAACATAGTCAGTCTTTGTGTAAGAAAACATGTAAATAATAGCATTGTTGAATTGATTCTCTACAAATACTCTCAAATGTGATTAATATATATTTTATATTTATTTCAATGAAAAACAATTAAAAGGGGTATCTGGAGCTAAATTAGATTTGGCTTAGTAGACAGTAATTATTTCAAATAAGCTAAGAGAGTATGATGCTCATAAGAGGAGACTCCAACAAAACTATAAGTTGAGTCCTCATAAGGATTTGAGAATCTATGAATAAGTCAAAAAAACTCAGTTTATTAATAATCGAAAAAGAGAATTAATGAAATGGTAGACAATATAAGAATAAAATACATAAATACTTGCGAGGCTGGCTAAAATAAGCAATCGCTCACCTACAGTATTAAAAAATTAATATTGGAAAGCCTCCCAGTTAATGTGGTACGCCTCGAGGTAGAAGATCATTAAAGGAATAAAAATTGCGTATTGAAAATGAAAACAACAGGTTGTTATCCAAAATTAATGGAATGTAAGGTTTAATTAAAATTAGATAATCTAATCTAAAGTAAGAAAATTTTCAAGATTCTTATCTGAAGCATAAAAAGATATAACAGAACATGTAAAAATTTTATTTTGATAACAACTTACACAAAATTAAATTAAGGGTTGATGCATATTTGGATAATTTGAATACTTAGAGATTGCATGAAAGATCTAAAAGCTTGCATGTTAATCCGCGAACTAGTAAATTAAACTGAAACAGATATATTTATAAATACTTATGATGCAAATTAACCCAAAAATATCAATATCATTTATAGCTCACTTTTTCCTTTATTCTATCACTTAAAACATAACTTATAGTATATCTACTTTTGTTGGGAAGTAATTATTACCATATTTTCAAGTTATTATACTTTTTGATAACAAAGTCTGGGTTGTAAAAAGGGTAATAGTAACAAAAATTATGTGCTCTGTCGAATTCCTCGTCTTCTTGAAAAGAACAAAAATTGTTGTAATTTTATTAATTGGCTAATGCGATAAGGATGTTCTCATCTAATTTCCCATTATTAGTTTGTTAGCTTCTCCTTCTTTATTGTTTTTGATATTATTCAATGCGATTCTTATCAGTTTCATCCAAATGTACATTGGATCTATAAGATCCTTTAAAACTCTCTAGCTTTTTTGATACTTCAGATTAGGTAGTGTAACTATATGATTTTCTATTCTATCTACAGTTTCTTGGATTGTTATTTTGATTCAACATCTATAACTCTAAAATATTCAAATCGTTTAATCTATCTGGATTCTCAAATATATTTAATTTATTGGTTTAAACTTATTAAATAGTTTATGCCTAAGATATATTTTAATTGATAATTGATATTGAATCTGGATCTTCGCGTTCAAGTTCTTTAATAAAGCCCTTTGTCTAGAATTGATTTTATTAAGCATAAATTGGCGATTCTTTTCTGATTTTGTTGGTCTCAGTATCATAGCATGATTCTTTAACATCATCTAAATCACTATTCATTAAGAGACTATTGCTAGGTCTTGGTCGATAAACTACAGGAATGTGACCAACTTATTGAGATTGATTTTATTATATATAAGTAGATGACAAATAATTCTGATTGTTAGTGAGATCCCTCAATATTTATGAATCAAAATTACAATTGTTTTCTTGAAATTCTTGTCCAGCCATTCCAATTTAAAATAAAAAGTCTCTACTATTTAGAGTTCGTTTAATACTTCTTTAATCTATCATTAAATAAGAAATTTTACAGTATTTTCTGATTTGATTATGATTATAAGAACATTGACTTAAAACCTTCTCTTTATTGGGATGATAATGCAATTTGTCACAAGAAGAGAGCAAATGATTTGGAGAGTTGCAACAAAAGCATCTCAAACCAATTTAATCGTAGAGATTCTCGAAAATTACTTAGTCTTTGAGAAATTAAGCTATTTCCTAGGGTAATAGATATAGAAATACGAAATCTGATCTATTGTTTTTTATGACATTTAAGTAGTCGTTTCTTGTGATTTTATATGTTTCTACTGGTCCTAAACAAATCACACTACTTGTTCTAGGCAAACCAGTGAAGAATGACACTTCTCCAAAAGTTTAAAACTTTGTCAACTGTTTTATACCTGTTTATGCATTATTTATGCCAGTATAACAGATTTTAACGCAACCTCTTTTAATCATATATAATGAACCATCATCACTACTATTCTATTTCAATATAATTTCATTTGATTAGAAGGTTTAGTATGTCATCTTCTCAATTAGTCTCTCTTGAGTGTCTTATGAGAATTTTTAGAAAACGGTTATTTTCTAGAAATACTTTGCATTAATAGTTTTATCAATTTTCTTATAAATATCACTGTTAATATATTAGATTGATTTAGTGTCAATGGCTGAACTCTATTATAGTTAATCGCTATTCATTTCATATTTGTAATTGCTCAATGCCTTCTTTTTTAATTAAGAATCTATTTTATGATGATTAAGAAAAGCCTTAAAATCGAAGTAGTGTTTTTTGAGTAAGTACTTATCAATGTTCTGATAAAAATAGAATAGAATTTCCAAAAACGCTCCTATCCTATTACAAGTTTATACGATTTACACAAAAATGGCAAATTACAACTCAAAATTAGTTTCTTGCGATAATGATCCATAAATGGTCAAGTATTCATCTAAATATTTATGTAGATAGATTAGGTAGATTTTAAATTAAATACTGATTGATTCATATACCAAATTGGAATGATTCATTGACATTTGAATGATAGCGAAAAGGTGACAATAACATATTGCTATGCTAAATCTATAGGCCAGCAAAACTGCCAGTTATTTTGATAAAAGGTTGTGCAGTTTCACTTTCTGAATTGTTACAATGTTCAACACTACAACTGCTATGATGGTAATGTACAAGTCAGTCAAGCAAAACTGCAGTATGAGAATGAAAGACAAGTACACTAAAACGTCCTTAATTAGATATCTTCTTATGTAATTATGCTGAATCTATCTGAGATTAGTTATTTCTACGTCATTTTAATAATAGCTAGTGTGAAGATTAAAAAGATTGTTTAAAACAGTGAGAATCAATTAAGAAAACAACAGTATAATACTTTCTGAGTTTTCAGGGTAAATCAATACTAATGGGGAGAAGATAAGAATTGTAATATAAGTTATTTACATTATTGTTTTCCATATTTCTCTAAATTTACTAGAACGAGGTATTGGAATTGTTATAGAATTCTTTATGAAATTAAATTTTGTTCTCTCATTCAATTTTTCAGGATCGTCATCATTTGATCCTGTTTGTAATAATTGATTCACGCAATGACTTTCTGAAAACTGTTTGGAGCCTATTTTTAATTTATCGATAAATTTTTTAATCAACTGCTCAGTTCTTGCATTTTTATTTAGTTATTTATAAATCGGTGACGTGACTCTTCCTCTTTCCTAAATGAAATCATATTATACTAATAGCTTTGTGGGCTTCTGTTTGTTGGAATATTTGCCTTGATGAGAATACTGCACCATCCTATGTGGATCGCTACTTTCCACTTCTAAGCCATTCATGTCTAAACTATTGGAGTCCTTTGGCTGAAAAGGGTATTGCATATTAAACTAATTGTGAGGCATCTATTAAGTCTATTGAGGAATCAGTTTAGAAGAACAATGAGAATAATTTCTAGAAGTATTAGAGCTAGGAAGAATTATGAACTCTTTGCTTTGAGATTAATTCATGTAAATTAATATAATAATTATGTTATTGTCAATCATTGACAACCTTAAATGAATAAGTAAATTAATACTAAATCAAGTATGAATTAATTTATTAACTAATGATATTTCTTGGGTTATTTGGAAATCTTAGCAATTAAATTGAAAATATCTCACTTATTACGTTATTGCCTTATTACTTTTGTCCATCCGACCTATATATCAATAGGGAGATTTTAATTTGATGGGTAACTATTTACTGATTTCAAAATATAGAGAAAACGATATATGGAATCATTGATTTTACCACCTTCAAAATGAACAACATATCCTTAAAATAAGGATATCATAGATTTTATTAATGGTATCGATCCAATTTGAAAATAAATCACAATATTATTATAAATTCATTTTCATTACGCATAAAACAATTATAATTTATTAATAAAAAAGATGGCTTACACGACAGCAAGATTATTCTCAACGTAATCATTGAAATAAGTTTAGAGTTGTGACTTAGACATTTTTTAGAGACATTCAAGTTATTGGATAGGAAAACATTCCAAAAGTAATTCATCAATATGAGTATGTAGGATGGACCGCTATTGCTATTTGGAAATCACAATAATCAATTTATTGATCCACTAGTACTATTATTTATAAAAGAAAGCTCATTATTTCAAATATCCCAAGGAAGGTTCACTTCATAGCAGCTGCAAAAGTGATTCAATTATGTTTATGCAATAGAGCATGAAAAGGCCTATCATAGGTCACTTAGGGAAAGCCTTAGGAGGAATCCCAGTGGAGAGACCATAGGATCTGGCAAAACGAGGATTTGGAACCATCTAAAGGATTGATGGAAACATGGTATATGGTTTGAGAACAGAATTTAAATCGCAATGCAAAGTCAACGACATCTTGGTGGCTGTAATTCAGTTGTCTTATTATCGATAGAATGAATAGGAATTTCAGATAGCTGAAATAATCAGTGATACTTAGTTGAAAATTAATAATCATGGGTAAATAGATTCTCCCATTCGAAATCTTCAATATAAGATCTAACCCAAGATTGACTAATCAAATATGTTTGAATAAGTGTGGATTGAATTATCAAAGGGAGCGTGCATTGGAATATTTCCAGAAGGAGGAAGTCATGATCAAACAAGATTACTACCACTTAAACCTGGAATCTGTATCATGGCATTGGGGGCTAGTTAAAAATTCAACACTAAAGTCAAGCTCCAACCAGTTGGTTTGAATTATTTCAAAGGACATAAGTTTAGATCAAAAGTAATCATCGAATTTGGAGTTCCGTATGAAGTAAGTCAAGAATTAATAGATCTATATGCGAAGAATAAAAGAGAGGCCATCAGCAATTTGCTTTATGAAATTGAGAGTGTAACAAATCTAAATTTATAAACATTAGTAATTGAAGACTGTTACGATCTAAGCTCCTACATATTCAGATCTATCTGCCGTTATGATTGTAAGATCTCTCTATTTGCCAGATAAAGCAAGACTCTCAGCTTAGGACAATTTGGAATTGGTCAAAAGGTTTATTTATTATTTCTAAACAAGATTCTCCTCGGCCTTTTACAAATTGGAAAATCACCCTGAGGTTAAGGAAGTAGTCAGCTAAGTGAAAATGTACAATTACAAATTGAAAGCCCTGGGGGTCTATGATTACCAAGTTATGAGGATGGAGAAGAATACTTTTCAGGATATCTATAAAATAGCCTTCAACTTATTTATGGCATTGCTCAGTTTGTCATTCGCTCTGCCTGGATACATTATGACTATTCCAATATCTCTTTTATTGAACACCTATACAGAGAGGGAGAGATAGAAGGCCTTGGCTAATTCAAAGGTGAAGTTGAGTGGCAAAGATGTTATTGCCTCTTACAAAATTCTGGCTTCAATTATGATTGTGCCAGCAGCTATTGCTATCTATACTATCCTATTTCATTATGCTCTGAAGAAATGGAACTTTATAAGCAGAGAGAAATAATTAAAGTTGACTTTGATATTTTTCTTACTTTGGCCTTTGTACATTACTGCAATGATAAGATCAAATGATGGTTTGATCAGACATTCAAGAAAGGTTAAAAGCCAAATCTTATTTTATTTGTATTAAAGTAAATATAGAAAACTTAAAAAATCAAGAGAATTACTATAAGATAGAGTATCATATTATTTAATTATTATTAAGATACGAAAGATGGTTGATATGTTGGGAGAAAATGTAGTGGCCGATTTCAAAAAGAAAAGAGTGTTCTCTTTTGATGCTAAGAAGGACAATTTAGATATTGACAATGTATTTTGCTCATTGGAAGAACTCGGAATCTGAAAATCAACATATATAATAATATGATTAATATTTTATTAACATTTACTTACCTAGTTTTTGTATAAGGCTAAATTAAGCTTGAAAACCCAATTTAAGAATTGAAGATAATATAAGTGGAGAACACTGATTCATAGTCATCAATTGAAATGATCCCAGAATAAACAAAAAGAGTGGTACAATATAAGGATTCTAAAACAACAATTGGAATGAAGGTGACTTCAAGCAATGAAACTTTGTTGAGATGTCTTTCATACGATAAAAATATTCTCTTTGAACCCTACATGATTAACGAAATCAAATTGTTGTCTCCATCTATCAATTCAGGATATACTGATGAGTCCTTGAAAATAAATAGAACAGCGAATGTGAATGACCCTGATTTTATTATGAAGAATCCCGTTTTAGTTGGATTAGCCAATACAACATCTCAAGGTTTTATGGTTTTAACTAGCAATCATTTACTCCATCTATTTTAACTTGATTATTCCCAACTCTCTAATAAGTTTGCAATCAAATCAAATCAAACATTCAATTTTAGTGATTTAAGACTAACCTAATATGAACCAGTTTCACCACAACTAATTTGGTTTGATCAGAAATCCTGTGCTCTAATAGTATTTCCATAATAAATTATCATCGGTAAATTGGTTGATGGCCAATTTTCATTCAAGAATAGCAACATCTCCATCTCTAATGAAGAAGAATACATCGGAATCACCAAACTTCACAAAGGATTTGTTTTTGTTGCAAGAGGACGATTAGGAATCGATATCTATTCAATCAATGAGTAAGCACAACTAATTTAAATTTAAAATCTCCACAATCAAATTTCGAATTACATACAAAATATGTATATCATAGATTTCTCTTTTGGAGGATTTGATAATAATTACATCTTCATTCTAGATAAATTTTAAGGATTAATGATATTTTCAATTTCAGATCAAACCTTCACCCTTACTAAATGGCTAGATTCCATACAAGAAATCAAAGGAGCAAAACTAATTAAAACACATAGAAACATTGTTATGATAATGGTCGAACACAATTCATATAATCTAATATTAGAATATTGCATTTATTCATAAGATTAGAAGTTGTTCTATATGAAAACACATTATCTAGATGGCAAATACTTTGACATCGATATTGAAGAGTAATTTGCCATCATTAGAGGCTACGATGGACATAAAATAATCTACCACTCAATACATGAAGGATTTCAAGTTAATTACAATTCACCTATTACTGATGAGTCTTGGGAGGATGGAACAGAATTTCAAGAAGATATCGATTAGTATGCAATAATTCCTTAAATGTAATCCTTCTATTTGACTCAGCATTTACAATAGGTATATATATGTATAATTGATTCTAGAACTTTTTGGTGGCCATATCATTTAGAAGTCTTGTGTTCGTCCGATTTATTAGGGTAGAACCATATGTAGAGTGCAAGTTGACTAATTTATCAACTAAAAATAGTCAAATTACAGTTAATGCTGTGTTGAACTCAACCTGGTGCAAAGAAAAATTTCAATAACAATTAGTATATAATAAATCATTCTATCCTGATTTGGTGATGTGTAAAAAAGAGTTGGATTTTTCAATTAAAGTGATCAATACTTTGGAAGAGGAACAAAATAATTATTATTACATCGTTGCAATAGTAATTACATCATTAATTTTGTTATGCTTATTATTGGTTGCTTTAAGGATCTTCTTTGCTAAATATAGGTAGGATCAATAAAATCTTGTGAATGTTATAGATTAATTAGGAAAGAGAGGATATACTGCAGAAAAATCATAAGATTAGATATCAGGTTTCTGATTTATTACATTTATGATATTTTGTAATTCAATAATCAATTACAATAGGTTTTATTAAATATTGATAAATCTAAAATTCATTTTTAATACTATTGAACTTAATCCTTTAAATTCTTTATCTAGCTTTTAAGAGTCAAAATCATTTCATCCTTAGATTTCGCATTTGAACTCTCCTTCAGTTTCTCAAACTCTCTTTCATATAACAAATCCCTCTATGCAGAATCAAACTAAGTATTTTCTTTTTTTTCATTATTCTTATGTTTTTGTGATTGTATTTAAGATAAAATGAGCTCGTCCTTATCATAATCCTTCTCTAAATAGCCATTAACAAAATCCTCTGCCTCTTGCAATTCATTAACAGCCATTTGATTTGGTTAAGGCTTAATTTGATTAATATTGATCACTTTTGGTTTTCTGATTGGCATATCACTAGTTGATAGTTTGTATGGATTAGCAATATTACTCTACATTATTTATTCGTCTCTCAGATCATCTTCATATAAAACTTGTTTTACATTTGGCATTTGAAACTGAGGAGCTTATTATTTTTATTTTTTATCTTTTTTAACCTTCGAATCCTCAACAGTCTATTCAAATTAATTAAGCAAATCAGAAAGTATTGTTGTATGCTTTTGTGCCATCATCGCAGTCTTTTCTTCTATCTAATTACCTTAAATCTTATGGATGAAGCATAACAACACTTCAAGTTGGTCCTGCTTTGTTGATAAGTTCAAACCTTCAATAGAACACAATAGTTAGGAGATCTAATCAATATAAGTTAATAGATTCGATATTTGTTCATCCAAATCTGAAAAGTATCTATAAATGTAATCTCCAATAATATTATGTTCCATCACTTTCTATACTCTTTCTACAGTATCAATCTTAATTTAATCATTTATCAAGAATCTGATATTGCTTAGTAACTCCTTTATTAGGTCAAAATTGGTTTTATCCTTATTAGAAAGAATATTAAAAGCATTAGAAATTAGTTCGAATGGTAAGAGCTTATCCCCATCAATTTAGGCCTATTTTTCTTTATTTTAAGAGACATTATAAATTTCCTTAGTTTTCTAGATGAATTTCATAATCTATTCCACATCAGATCTTCTATATTTCTGTTCATATAAAAAATGAGCAATGTCTACTAATTTGAAATAATTTCCTTTTACTGTTTAAGAGAATTTCTTTATAAAGTTACCTACAGTTTATAAGTATATTGAGTTCAAAGCCTATTAGTCTTTATATTTATTGACTAAATCTGGATATCCCACTGGAGTATAATTCTCATTTGATAGTAGAGTCCCAAGATATCTGCAGACAACTCTCTTTTCATAGAAGGCGCTCTCCTTCTATAGAAAGAGTTCCTATAGTGACTCCCTACACATTGCTGCAATTTGATCAGTCTCTTAATTTTTAACATAGATTCTTGTGTCCTCTTATTCAGCTATGTTTCTGAATGCTAATTCTTCAAATCTTTACAACATTCTCACTTCCTGAATTTTAGTTTACAACAGCATGGTTTTAATGTTTTTATAGCTATTCTAGATATGAAATATTAACTTACAAAATAATTTCTTAGATAGATACAGAGACTAATGTTTCTTTATTTCGCAGAGTTTTCACTTATCAAATTTCTGATTTTAGTTTTTTCTTTATAAAACTTTTTAAAGTTAAATATGAAGGCTTTCATAGAAATCATAGGTATTGTCTTCGATTACTGTTATTATTAATTCTTATCTATTAGATTTGAATTAAGATTTTTTTCATTCACAGTGTTTGTTTTACTGTTTTTTGTTTCCTTCAGTGTATTTTTTTTTGAAACAACTTCAACTTTACTCTGCTTGTTTTGATTATAAAAAATTTCAAGTTCATCATCGTTATGCATTTTAATTATATATATATATATTATTAATAAATTAATTAGTCATTCTTAAAATAATAAAAATTTGAAATCTTCCAATTCTTATTCCTTTTGTTAATTATTACTGAGTGCTCTTTTGATGTAGAATTTTTTCTTTTGATGCAACAAATTTATTTATTACTCAATGGTATTCCTGCACAAAAATCTCACTACTTTAACTTGATTTTGTTGTCCTATTCTATCAGCTCTTCCAATGGCTTGATCTTCAATTGCAGGCTAAATAACATAAAATGATAATTTTACATTCCACCATGGATCCACCAAGAATACATTATTAGCCATAGTCAAATTCAACCCTGTAGATGTTGCTCTCAGAGACAGTATGAGTGCTGTGACATCCTGTTATTCTTTGAAATTTTTGATTATTTTCTCCCTTTTATCCACAGTCATTTAACCAGTAATGCGATAAGCTATAATTCCACTTTCTTTAAATTAATTTTCCAATAATCCGATCATTTCAATCCATTAAGTGAAAATTAGTACTTTTTCCTTTTTTTGTTTAATCAATTTAGTCTCTTTAATTACAGCCTCCAATTTTGAACTAAGTCCAAATTACAAACCCTGTAATTCTTCAAATACATTTTCATTCTCAACAACAACATCGATCAAATCTTAGATTGTCAATTTGGTACGACATGATGGACAATTCTTGAGTTTAACAACAGTCTCTCCAAAGCATCTAATTGATATTATTATAATAATACTCTTTGCAATAGATGTGTCCGCATGAAGATAAGCTAAAGACACTGATTTAACTTTTAGTGCATATTAAACATTCTGTAATGCTTCCATTTTTAATGTTTTCAATCAAATTTTATTTGTATTCCTCAGTAATTTAATTTCCATTATGAGTTTTTTCCATAAAAAATTTGTCTATTTTATCCAATACCATCTCTAAGGGTGTCTGCTATAAATTAATGTCTTTCAGAGCCAATTAAGGATGATTGCATGCAACTCTTAGTTTATTAATAATCTAAAAAATATGAACATAACTTTGATTTGAAGTGTTCTTCACAAAATTTTTGAATAGATTCTATGAACCAGAAAGCAACTTTTTATATAGCATTCTCTCCTTCTTATCCAATTCAACCCAATGGATATTCTCAATTACTTATTGTAAGCCTTCAAATTATTATGAATTCTTTGTTCTCCTCAAAATTATAGGTTGAAGAATTTAAGCCAAGATTCTTTGTTGATCATCTTCGTTTTCTTCTTTGTTTATGTATGTATTCCACCAGAAACTAAATAATAAGATTAATATTTTACTATTCCGAAAATGTTTCTACTTGTAAGAATTAGAGCAGACTGAATAAATCATCATGTTTGTTTTACATAGGTGTTCCTGTTAAACACCATCTAAATTGACTTTATAATGATATGGCACTTTTAGTTTACAGAGTGGACCTAGTTTTAATGTTGTGGGCTTCATCCAGAATCACTCTATAATAATTCAGTTTAAACAAATTATTTTCTTTTTTTGCCTTCTCTAATTATTTAAGAGTAAGTTTTTTTTTCTTTTATTAAGGCTTTGCTTCTTCTTTCTATTCCTCTGATATTCTGTTAACGCTTATAGAAAATGAAATTGATTAATCAGAAATTGAATCACTATCTTAGGATACATCGGATTCTTCTTCTTATAAAATTGAATGTTTATTTTTTTAAGATTACTTTTTTAATGGCTACTTTTTTTTTTATTGTTATTTTTATTATTATTGTTATTGTTATTGTTATTGTTATTGTTATTGTTATTGTTATTATTATTGTTATTATTATTATTATTCTTACTATGATTATTCTTATTCTGGTTAATCTAATTTTTATTATTATTCTTATTCCATCTCGTTTATTTATGTCCATATCGAATAATCAGAAGCTAATATAGCATAAGTTGTCAAAATTATATCATAATCCTTTAATTTGATCTTCTAACTTCGAGATTATTATTTATAGTATACCAATACCTATAGACTTCTAGGCTTTGAATGAGTTTAAATTTCTTTCTCCCATTATAATAGTACCGATTTCGGTACTACTATCAAAGTTTGTTACCCTTTTTTATGAGTTTCCAATATCAATGCCAATGCCATAATAGTCTTTCCCAATCCCATTTCATCTGCTAATATTCCACCCTTTGTTTCTTAGACTGGGATAAACTCCTTTGAAATCTTTCCTGTAAAAGTATTTACAAAAATGGTATCTCCATTCAGGAGTTTGAGCTATTGCCACAAAGGCGATAACTTTTGTTTTTAGTCTTAGGTCTAATCTGTTATATGGCCTTCCCTCAAAAGCATCCAATATAAGGCCTGCTTTTGATGTTATTTCAATTATGAGAGCATTTGCTTAGGTGTATTGTATTCTTGCAATTAAATATTAGCAACGAATATATTATTTAAGTCTTATTGTAAAATTTCTTCATTTTGTTTTTTCTATTGAAGTTTGGTCTCTTCGTAATAAGACTCTTGCTCTTACTTTAATAAATTTTCGTAATTCCTTTAGTTTTTATCAACCTTCACAACATAATCAACATAGAAGTAATCTAGAATTTGATTTTTAGAATCCTCATAAATCTTTACTTTGTCGTCACTCAATAATTCTACTCCACAATCTTCATTCAAATTATTTGAAATGGTTTCCCTGGCCTCAATAAAGTTTTGATGCTAGTCTTAGTACAATTCATCATTCAAGTAATTATTTTAAAGTGGAATTGTAGATAAAAATATAGTTTTAAGAACATAATCCGAATATGAGGGTTACTGTTATTTGACAACTGAACTCATCGATCTTCGAATGAAACTAAGGATTGCTTCATAAAATGCTACTGCGACTCGTTGAAACTAGACATGAAAAAGAGGGTGAATCTTCTCGATTTTGGGCTTATAGGGCTAATTATTTGACAGATATTTTAAGCTCCCTTGTTTTGATAAGGCCAACTTCTTAAGCAATTCTGGAGTAAACAATTTATTATAAAAATGTTTATTGTTGACATAAGCATTGAAGTAATCCTGGCTATCAATAATTGGCCTATGATATGACTTCATCAACTAATTTACAGGCTGAGACTTGTATCTCTCATGAAAGTAACAATATTGGGTGAAGAATATTTTGAATTGCTTGTCAGACTTGACAAGAGCTGGAGTTTGAACTTAAATGTTCATAAAGTCAAACATAAGCAATAAGGAAAGTCTAGCAAATCTTTGGTGTTCCATCCTGATTTCCTATTAATGGATTAGCTATTATTATTGGTATTTTTCATATTTTGGCATGTCTTTTTTTACTCCAGTTTTTCTATTATACCTTAAAATTTTTAGTTCATAATTATCATTCAATGCCTTATCAGTAATGAAAACTTAAACTTCTGCTAAGGTTATGGTTTTTTTTTCAGAATCAAAGTCAACAAAGTTTACCCTCAATTTAACATAGCCAGCATTGATTAAGAAATACCACAATTCATCGAAAACATGTTCAATGTACCCGTATTTATTATAGATCTTATAAATTTCCTCCTCTCCCTTTTTTACTTTGCATAACACAGTTCTGCCTTCTTGCAGAACACCTCCTCCAACTACAAATAGCCTTTTCTGATAAAACTTTATATCCTTAATCTTTTGTAATGGTATGGATAGAATGTTCAACTTATATTTCTGTTTCGGATTATTTCGTTTTGCAAATCCCTCGTCGGTTGAGAATTTACATAAAAATTTCCCAATGTAATTAGGAGAATATTATTTCATTTCCTATTGGTTTGATGATTTGTATATCATAAATTAATTAATGAAATTTTAAATTTTATCACTACATATTTTAGGCTTCCAAACTATTTTCTACTATCCTCAATCAGATTTCCTAGTAACTCAAAACTAATTCTATTGAATATTATATAATTTGATATAAATTAAATATTATTAATTTATTAAAGAATTCATTCTTCGGAGTAATGAACACACAAAAAGCACAACGTATAAATTTTGACAATCCTAGCTCGATTATATTCTAGTAAGGAATCGCTCTTAGCACTCAAGGCTCATTTATCAGCTAAAAATGCCAAATTACCTAAATCTCCCACAATAGAAGATTATATCACATATATTAAAAAATTATCTATTAGACTCAAATAGGGCCCTTTAGATTTTTGGATTCCCAATGTTTATAGGCGAGTAATTTAGGTGATCAGATTGATGAGCTCTGAAGACGGATTCGTCTAAAATAAGGATAAAGAAAAGAATTTCAAAGCATTAGGACTCACAATCCAGAGAAGTTCGAGTAGATCAAAAACAACAATCGAAACAGGTGCCGAAACAGGTTCAAATGCTATCCAATAGTATGTGATATTGCCTGCAATTGATTAAGTCTTGGAAGAAATGGAGGCCCATTCAGATGATATTAATACATTTGTAATTCATAATATTATGTAGGCATCAACACATTTTTTTACAAATGAAGTCCTTTTAGTTTATGAATATTCCACAACTGTGCTGAATTTCTTGTTATCAGCTAAAAAGACCAGAAACTTCGAGATTATAGTTTTGGAGAGCGAAACTGAAAACTTAGGGAAGTAGTTTGCCACTGACTTGGGAAAACATCAATTGAATGTCACCTTAACACCCTTTACTAATGCCTATGCCATTATGTAAAGAGTAAATAAAATCCTTTTGGGAGTCGATGCTATCCTTAAGAATGGAGGTCTTTTGATGCATCCAGGAACATATGCAATTTGTGTTTTAGCCAAACAGTTTGCTGTTCCAGTTATCGTATTGTCTGGAGCACACAAATTGACTCCAAAATATGCCTTTGATCAAACCACCTTCAATGAACTTGTGTCACCTTTGAAAATCAATCCAAATTCCACAATTGAACAAATGAGCATTGGAGTATTTTCTTATGTTTTTATGTTAGATTACATTTGACTATGTTCCTCCTGAATACATAAGCCTGTACATCACTAATTAAGGATAATACACACCCTAGAGTATCTATTAGCTGTTTAGTGATTTTTATAATGTCAAAGATGAAGACATTTGAATTTGTGAATAATATATTATGTAAAGGTAGAATAAGTAAATAATAATGTTGGGTATATTATGAAATTCAAAATCCAGAATGATTAGAGTTTTTTTTAGAGTTAAGAACCGCTCTTGCTGGACAAATCTAAAGGGATTTGTCAACGAAATCTAATTTTGTTATTGTTGAAAATTATCCATCAAATGTTGGCACGCTTTGCAATTAGGTGGTCGTTTTTGAAGGTCTCGTTTTCTTTGCCTTGAAGGGTCTGAATGCTCTAGAGGAGGTGGTGGATCCAAAAAATGGTAATCCTGGATTTATGGGATTCCTTAACATTCTTATTATAGTAATTACCCAAAACTGCTATGAGCTCCAAAAATGAGGTTTTTTTCTCTTGTAATTGGTGTCCCACTGAAATTCCTTTTGTATTCGCTTGAACCCAAGAATTGGAGATCTTTCATAACTGTTGGGTGGTTTTAAGGAATAATATTCACCTTCTCACCTAACAATATATACGCATATTTTACTCTCAGGCATTTTGGTATGAGTCAATTAATAGGTAGAGCCAGCATGAAAAGGCTATACGAATCTAGGTTGTTCTGGTTTGTAGGATGTTTGTGGTCTCTATTTTGGATCTTTGAAATCCACCTAGGATAACTGTTTTCAATTACTCTTTGAGTTGTCTCAAATTTCATAGCATAATCATCTTTATAAGTTGGCAATTGTGATATCGATTTAATTCTGGACGGCTATTTTTCAACGTAGTCTTGTTGATACTATGATTTCAATGGCATTCCCTATTATTCCTTTAATCTTTCTAATCCACACTTACACCCACCACAAACGCAGAGTCCACAAACACATTGATCTATAATATTTTAATACGCCAAACCTTTAACATGATCAAAATAAGTAGCATTTTTCTCTAACAATTTACTAATTTGTTATTGATCATTCTACGAAAATTTACCAGACAATAACTTCGATTTAGCAAAATTTGAATACCTCCTTTTATGACATGGAATAAGCAGTCTGAGGTCTAAGTCTATTGCTTATATTGAAGTTCATTAAATATTATTATTAAAAAAATTATACTAATTTGGATATGATATGTGACAAATATAAGATATGATTTTGCAACACTTAGAGAATAAAACATTTTCATATCTAAATTTCCTATAAATACTCATTTACTGACATTTTCCATAGTTTATTTGGACAACGTAAGATCAAAATATTTGATACATATGGGGAGAACTTGATAATTCAAATAAACTTAAGATATCCTAAAAATATATCTTTATAAAATCGTGTGACTGAATCATATAGACTATGAATTTGATATATTCAATTTCCTCATTAATTATAAACTACCATAAACATACAAACAACTGGTATAGGTTAAGTCAGAATAATTTTAATCATTTCCTATAAGGAATCACCTTGAATTTAGATAAAACTAAAATTGAGAGGGAATAATTTGAGCTAAAATTGATCTCTTCTCTGGAGTAAGCCACACCATTTGCTTTAGTTTTTTTTTATAATAATTTTGTTTAAAACCTTTTCATTCTATGATACAATTCTAAAAACATCTATCCTTTCCATTATTAGTGAGATAATATATAAATATTTAAAAATATATTCTACACAAAAAGTTGAAGAAATCTAAACTCATCTATTCTGATTCCAGTTGAAGATGTTTCTTTTGAATACTTATATATCTATAATGTATACAATTGAACAACTAGGTTCTCACGTGAATATCAAAATGAGGGATATTCTAGAGTCTTCAAAAGAATTTATTTTTTAATTTTATAATGTTGTGTTTAGATAAGATTTTGGTTGGCTCTAATTTGAATTAGGAATAGAGTTGCCATTGATGAATCTAAGTTGAAATAGATTTAATATGACGGAGCAGCTCGATTGGCAATTATTATTCGTGATTGTTTGTCCTAACGGTAAACTAGTCCCAGATATAATATTTGATAATTGTTTTTGAAGTAAAAAAATATATCAAACAATCAACTAACCTAATATCATAATGACAACAGTGTTCATCTTGTCCAAGGCTGAATATAATATGGATATATGAAATACAGTCATCTGAATCTTCGTATTCTTCTAGGTTGAATTTTTTTAAGACCATCCCATAATATTCTGATCTGGTATTGGTGTTGGCACTCTCAAATTTGGATGAAAATTTTGAAGTTTTTTTTTAATTTGGTGTGCAAATATTTTTTTAGTTTTCATCTAGAAGTTGGTTCTAACAATTCTCACAATTACAACCGTAGCCGCAACTTTTGCCAGAATGGAAGCACTCGCAATATTTTTTCAAACACATTGACTTTTTGCATGTGCATCCCTAGGAGTTAATGGATGAATGGTACATCTTTGAATCGTTTGGATTTGATTTTCCTTAGGTTTCTGTTGAGATCAAGTTCTTAGATGACATGGAGGACCTTTTTGTTTGAGGTTCTGTTTTGACAATTTTCGCATCTGCCTTGGAGATAGAAATATGATTAATTTACAGGCGGAGGAACAGAGTCTCCCCTTGGCCAAACACTCGCAATACATTTTCCTGCATTCAGACTTACTGCAATTGCAAGGGTCATCAGAGGGTAGAAGAGGGGAACCCTTCCTTTTGGATGGTTCAGGAGAGATTAAAATATTGTCATGAATAGTGTGTTACATCTTAATTAACTAACTCATGTCTAAAGAGGAGTCTTTGTGTTCATCCATTTCTGGAATGGATTGAGATTATTGATCTAGCAATTATCTTGCAAATGAGAAGAACTAGTTGTTATCTTGCTCCTACATTAATTTAATTAAAATCACTTCTGTCATTCTAAATTAAAAATACCACAAACATTAATATAATTAGATGTTATCCTCTTTGAAGTAAATGTTGGTCAAACAGAAGGACATATTGGTGGTGATTCCTGCCTTCTGCTCTTATTATTTGGTCACTCAACACTTGTTTTCCTTCGAACTCTCTGAAGGTTAGTCGATGCACCCGACCGTGAAGGATGGCGAATTGGTCGTAGTGCAGAGAGCATTCTACAAGATCAAATAGGGAGACATCATCATAGCCAAATCTCCTGTGAGACCCGATTACACGGTTTGCAAGAAAATAATTCATTTGGAGGATGAGTTGGATCCGAATGGGAACAAGGTGCCGAAAAACCACGTGTGGATCGAGGGAGACAATGCGAAGGTGTCCTTCGATTCTAAGTTCCATGGTCCCATTCCAATCAACTTGATTTAGGGGAAGGTGATCTATTGAGAGGGCATTTGGATGTGAGTGAGTATACTTTATCAGTCAGTATTATTAAATTAATTTACTAATGTAATAAACCTCAGCGTACAAAGGTAAGAGTTGACTTAGATTCAAGTCGTCCTTGCTGGAGACAGCAAAGTTGGGAAGACAAGTTTCTTTTTGAGAGCCACGAAGAACATTACGCCTTAGCAACCTAAATCTACGATTGGAGTTGAATATGCCTCGAAGCAGATTGTTTATAAGGAGTAGTTGGTGACATTGAAAATCTGGGATACAGGTATGATAATATTGATTTAGCTGGATCAGAAAAATATAAGTCTGTGACATCAAAGTACTATTCCAACTATTTAGTCATTTTCGTTAATCCCAAGGAGCCTTGGTGTTTTTTGATCTAACCGATCTCTACACTTATGAGAACATATAAAATTGGCTTAAAGGTACGTAGTATTGAAAAATTAACCAAAAAGATATACAAAATTATGCTGATGATTCCGTAACTATCATAATAGTTGGTAATAAATTGGATCTTGTGAATGAGGCATAGAATCTGCGTTGTATTCCTCAAGAGAAGGTGCAGCAGATGTGTAAGGACTCGAATTTGTTATACGTGGAAATATCGACTAAGACAGGAGAGGGAATCAATGAATTAATCGAATTGCTAGTTAAGAATATGCAGTCAAGAAAAATCGAGAATGAGCCCCAATAAGAAAGACCAAGATAAAATTGTTGTCACTGAGGTTTCTTGATTATATTTGTATATGTGATATACATTTATAAGTGATGATACTTCTTATATATATATATTTATATAAAATTGAGTAGCAAAAAAGAAATGAAGTCGTTTTTTAATTAATATAATAAATGAGAATAGCAATTTTATTGGTATTGATTGCAATATCAGTCGCAACAGAAACTCATCTCACTGCTATAAAGCAATTAAGAGAAGTAATAAATGTTTAAGTATATTCCAGAAAACAAGAATCACTCCATTTAGCGATTATTTTTATGGCATGCTTGAATTGCATTAATCAAGTAAATTAGGTGAAGTAGTCACCATTGTGTAATCGATGTTAGACAAACTCATCGCTGCCTCTGGGGCTAATGAAGCTGAACATTCCGCTGTAACTCTATATTTCTCATTGTTTAGCAACAAGCCAATTTCGAATAGCAAATTTCTAAATTAGAAAATACCCTAGAAACAACCGAAAGCGAACTGAGTTCAGTGAATCAACAAATAAATGACTTGACTTCCGATCTATCCTCACTTACCCAATCCTTGAGTTTCCAAGGCCAATAACTCCTATTGTTGTCCAATCAAATCACACAATTGACTGATAACCATTAGGAAGAAGTCAGAGCAGCCGAAGAGAAATTCAACAATAACTCCAGATATTTGGCAGCTGTCGAAGAAGTCTTGAGATTTTTAGGTGATGCTCTTTTGGGAAACACTAGCTTAATCGAGAGGGAAAGAGCTATCGAGGCAGCCAAACAAGCCTTGGGAGACAAGCATCCCATTGCTATTATGATTCAAATGACATCCCAATACGATGACAACACCATCAGAAGAGTTATCAGCAAATTAGAAGGAATTGCAAAAAATGTCCAAGAAAGATTGGATGCCATCAATACTTCCTCCACCAATTCAGAGCAGCAATACCAAACCTTAAGAAGTCAATTTGAAACCACCTACAGCAATTTGGATAAGGACAAACAATTCAATCAAAGACAAGCAACTGCTAAGGACAACGATCTAGTACATTTAATTCATATTATCCAAAGGCATCGAACAAGAGAAGACAAGAAGAGTTACAGGAACTTATCTCCACCACCAAGGAGTTGCTTGATTAAACCAGAGTGGCTGAAGACAATGAAAATACAAGCTATACAAGCAAAAGATCACACATTTCAGAAGAAATTAGCATCGTATAGAGTGCTTTGGATTTATTATCACAATTACCAGCTTAATGATATGAATGAGAATAATCAAATAAAATAAAATTTTATTATATTTTATTATGTTTATTGTGTACCCACAACCTCAGGTTTACATAGTCTAACAAACAGTCCCCGTCTATTAGAGCTTGCCCCTCATCAGAGTAAAACTTACTTCTCAATTAGCCACCTACATCAGTTCAACCTCAAATTAGATCGCAAATCCCAGCTCAAATCGCGAGTCCCGATAAATCAAGAGTCACAGATGATATGATCGAGACTATTAACAAAAAGATTGAAATGATTGATAGCAGAATAAGCCAAATTCAGAAGTCATTGCCTCCTAAGTAGAATCAAAACGGCAATCACACCAAGAAATAATATACCAATACTTCTCAGGATGAATTTAATAGTCCAGTTACACCCAAAAGAACTGGAAATTTCAAAAGCTATTTCCTTAACAAATATGACAATTCCTAAGAGAGAATTCGAATCAGTAAAAAGATTTTAGAAGAACATGAGAGAAATACCAAAGCCAGCAAAAACACTCAATCGTCTAATAAACGAGATTAGAGTTTCCAATCCCAAACCAATAATAATAAATAGACTACTTATGACATTAACAAAAAAACCACCATTACCAAAAAGATCATCTATATGGGCGAAGAAGCCTTGTATGAGGGACAGACGGATGAAAGGGGCAGAAAACAAGGAATCGGAACGCTTTTCGATAAAGATGGAAAAATTATATACACAGGTTAATGGAAGGATGATGTTTTCTGGGGCAAAGGCAAACTCATGTTCAGAGAATCCAAATCATAAAAATTGCAATTAAAGAACTTCATGAATTTCTCCAATGTAGCAAGAAATAGGGAAACATATAGCGGCAACTTTGTAAACGGCGAAATTGATGGAATTGGTTAAATGCAATTCATAGATTGTTTTGATTCCTATTTTGTATTTTATGGTACTTTTAGGAAAGGAGTATTTCATGGAAAAGGATGCGTTTTATCAAATTAAGGCAGAGAAAGTTTAGAAGGAGAATGGATTAATGGCAGACATACTTGATTAATAATTCATATTTTCATTAGACATATTATATAATTAAGGGTCTCTCTCTATTCTTGTTGCCCAATTTTGCAAAGAATTATTTTGAAAATCCCTTTAATGAAATTCTAATGTAAACTAATTAATACTTATATAATTTATATTATAAAACCTATCAATTTATTACAATTTAAATGTATTTCAATGAAAATAAGTCTTGATCGAGGAGAACTACCTATCTCTGAAGATCCAGAAGAGGAAGTTATTCCATCTTTTGGGTCACCTAAATTATTGCCTGTTGCAATCAAAATAGGGGAGGAAGATTTCGAATTTTATTGGAAACATCAAATGTAAGCTTTTATTATTTTGAAACGATGAATAGAAAATAAAGTATTATTCATATGACTTAAAGTAAATGGTTTAAGGGATCTAAAAGTTCTTAAAACAAAAGAAGTTTAGGATAATTTTATTGGAAAGTGAACAAGATTTTAATTTATTCTATGAGTATTATGAGGAATGCTCTACCTTCAAAGAAGATGAAGATAGAGTCTAATTATTTTCATAAACTATTTAAATAATTAAAATTTAGAAGATTTATAAACAGTAATCGAGGACGATGAAAACAATTATTCGTCTATTCTCTTAGTACTAGGTGATATATTTTAAAGAAAATGAAGATTAATATTATTAGTCTAGCATAAATTTATGGAAAATTTAAAAAGATACTAAAAAATATAATAAATAAATGAGCTGGTTTGTTATAGAATAAATAAACTAAAAACAATCAAAATATGAAAGAAATAAGATAACATGAACAAGCTCATTTTCAATTGAAAAATTAGAATTTTAGATTTAATAATCTGCATCTTCGACTCAATCAAGGGTGTTAATACTTTTTCTGTGATTGTTTAATTTGAATATCTTTGGGTTTGGCAATTGTTCATTTGGTTACTGAGTTAGGAGGAAGCAGAGAGGACAAGAGTAAGTTTGAAAGAGCGTAATTATGAAGATTGTTTCAGATGCTGAATAGGAGTGAAGAAGGATGAGTCATTATTAATAATTACAATTTATATATTGTTAATGAATTCTCTGAATTTTGGTTCAACTATTGAGATACCTTAATTGATAATTACGGAGTTAAACAAATTAAACAAGGAAGTTGTTGTACATTCCATCGTCACGAAGACGAATAGCAGTGCACAAACCTTATACTCCCAATTAAATCCAAATCAAAATGTTCAATTAAATGGGTTAACTTTTATGAAGACAGAATAGTTTGTGATTTTTGTGGTATCGATTGAGGAATGTCAACAGCAAATTGCAACTATCTTACTATTCTTATATGTGGTTTCCCAATACATGCATTTTGTAGAAAATGAATAAGAATCGATATTAAAATTGTTTGATCAATTGCCCATATAATCAATACAGAAGCAGGCACCCAAAATAAGCAAACAGTATTAGAGTTTATTGAAGCACTTCAACATGTCTAAAAAGCATTGTAAATTGAGTGGAAAGCCAAAAATGATCGTCAGATTTAAAATGACAGGCATCATACTGCTGAATCTCATGTTGGATTTTTGTGAGTATGTGAATTCAAATAGGAAAATAAATGGCAATTTGTTCGTAGGAGTCTTCAATAGAGAATGCTATAGACAATATGAGGAGGTGAGGAACAAGTACTATCAATAAGTGGTGAAGATCCAATCAGATCAAAGGATTTAGGATACGGCCACACTGTTTCACAATTTGGTGGACATTCAACAAGATGTTCTGCTCAAATTATTGGATAGTGCAGCCTGTTCGGAAATGAAATTGACCTTCGTTGAATTCTTGTCCTATTGCAAGGACAATCAGAAGAAGATAATGCAGGACAATAGCACAGAAAGTGAGAAATATTGTAATGCGCTCTTGCAGTCGTATTTGAATCTATTTATAACTGAATGCCAAAATGTGGAGGAGGTAATTTAATAGAAGGACATCTTCATCAAATAGAAGTGGGCCTCCTTTGAGGAAATCCTGGATGGGTATCTAAAAGATGCTTAGGGACCAAACAAGCATATGATCAACGAATAGATCACAAACATCATATTTTAGGAGTGCGATAAGTGGTTTGAGTCACTTAACAGTCATTACATGTTTGAACTAAATAAATCGAAAGTAATTTAGATGCATTATTAGAATAGGCACAACTTATGTAAACAATGGAGAACTATTAAGAATTGCAGAATAGATTGGCTGAAGTGGAATCAAAGAAGTTTGAATTAGAAGACTTGAATCAAGGATTGATGTTTGAATTGGAAAGTCAAAAGAGAGAAACTGAGAAGATCACCAGATTGAAGGAGTTGGCAGAAGAACTATGTTAGAATCAATCTTAAGAGTTGAAGCTCAAGTTGGGTAAGTCGAAGGATAAAAACAAGAAGTATAAGGAGCAATTAGAGAAGATTCAGGAGGACAATAGAAGAATCAGCTATGAGTTGAATGAGAAGAAGAAGGAACAAATCAACATCTTAGTTAAAGTGCAGAACTTGGAGAAGGCATTGGATTAAACCATTCAGAAATAGGAGTAGGACAAGTTCGAGAAGGAACTCATTTCCCTCATCCAATTGTTCAAAGATAGATTGGAACTAGCATCAAGAGACAGCACAAGCAGTAGTTCACGAGCTTCTACTGATCAGAGTTCATTCAGAGTGTTGGAGAAGTTGCAACAAAAGTACGACAAGGCTAAGGAGAAATGCAGGCAGTTAGAAGATGAATTATAGAAAACCAAGCATCTTAATGAGACTCTGTAGAAGAAGAATTAAGATAATGAGTTCCAAATTGAACAATTGAAAAATGAGTTATCGACCAGATTGAGCAAGGAGGAGGGAGACAAGTTGGTCAAGGAGCAAAAGCAGAGAGACGACGATTTGTATTCGGTTTTGAAGAGTCACAAGGCAACCATAGAGAAAATGAATGAATAGCATTCCCAATTATAACAATAGTTTTACGAGAAGTCAATACAATTCTCAAATCTGGAATTTCAAAGGGGCAACACTCTAACCATAATGAGAGTATGAGCTTTATTTATAATTCCCTTAGGAAGCATTGAAGTTTTAAATGAAAATCAAGAACAATACTCTGGTTTCAATATTAAAATCTATGCCACCAGAACAATCGTAGGAAATAAAGGATATATTGCATTCTGTTGGTTTGAAATTATGATTTGATCATTATAAAATGAAATCACAATGTTTGAGTAATTTCTTCAAGAGATCTACTGTAATTCTTAGATTTTGATATTTTCTTATTAAGTATTTTTAAAGGTTGATGACCCATCAACAAAAATTGATAAATTAAAATGAAGACTTAATTTGATAAAAGCAAAATTGTCAATGTCTACTCTCCAAACCTACCTCCATTTAAATTGACACTCACTTTTAAAACTACTTTTAATGATGTTCGCAACCAAATTATTTAAGGCTGGAGTGTTATTCCTAAGCGAGTCAGAATCTTTAATTAAAATGGTCATGAATTGATAGAGCAAGATTTACAATTTGTTCTAGATGGAAATAAATTATATATCACTCTCTTCGGTTAGGACTTGGATGCAAGCATCATATTCTAGGAGTACGAGATTGTTTCAGAAATTGGTAAGGGAGGCCAAGGAACTGTCTTATTGGCGAGACATAAGTTCATTGGATCCTTTGTTGCTGTAAAAATAACAAGGGATATCGAAGAAGAAGACTCAATTATAAAGAGGGAATCCAAAATCTTGAAAGAATTATAACATCGCAATATCGTGAAGGTCTTTCAAACTCTCTATTTTTGCAAGACCAAGGAATGCATTATCATAATGGAATACTTGGATGGTGGATCCCTCTTACAATTAATTCGAAGTATGTGACCATCCTTATGTTATTAGACAAGGGAACAGTAACTGAATAGGAAGCCAAGATCTACATCAAATAGATTGTAGAGGCCTTGCTCTTTTGTCATTCTAAAACATTTGTTCACAGAGATTTAAAATTAGAAAATATCATGTTAGTTAATTAAGGCAATACTTGGGTATTAATCATTTTTAATTAAGGTCAAATTAATAGATTTTGGATTGGCAGGAGTGGCTGGCACATAGAGGGAAACTGAAACCATGAATGTCGGAACTCTGCCTTACATGCCTCCAGAAGTTCTTAATGGAAAACTCAAGTTTGTTAGTCCTTGTGTAGATGTGTGGGGTGTGGGTGTAATTATGTATAGTCTGCTATATGGTAAATTACCTTTCAAAGGAAGAACGAATGAAGAAAAGGTTAACAACATTCTTCAATGCAATTTCCAGCATGAACTAAGTGTCTCAGAGGAAGCCAAGGATCTTATTAATAAAATATTTGTACCCAAAAATAATCAAAGAATATCAATCCAAGAGATTTTAGCTCATAAATGGATAGGAGGAAATGGATTAACATAATTTCGAAGATTGCTTAAAAAATAAGAAAACCCTTATCTTAAAAATGGAAAAAGGAAAAATGATTTCGAAATCAGAAAAAAAAGTGTCTATGACGAATAAAAAGTTAGAATTTCTCTTCCACTTATCCGTTATCGAGCAAACTCATAAGAAACTATCATTGATATTTCTAAGTGATGTTAATTATTTGTATTTTTTTCAAAGATATTTAAGTAAAATAGTAATAAAGAATTCTTTTAAAATTAATTGTATCTTATATGATAATATACATAATTGATTTATTGACCAATTTAGTTATTCAATTGTAAGTGTTTAAAATTTGTATGTCATTTGATATTATAATTATAGGAGGAAATGGATTTGGTGGGATTTCAATAAGAATATTATCTGTAAAAAAGCTAATTTCGGAAAGACATGTAAATTGTTAGTAGCCTAAAATTTCATAAGAAGGAGGGATTATCTTGAATTAAAGTTAAATCTTCAATGTAGAGAACATTATTAGTTTTTAGAATTTATCTTAAATTTTGAATTTGAATAAGAAAATGTTTTTCTAAGGATATGAAATTAATTTCTTTATAAGCAGTAGCTGTATCAATTCTATTTATTGCAAATTTAGCATATATGATTAATGAAAGAGATAAACTAACTCTATAACTAGAAAAAATTCCTGAAATATGAATTATTTCAATATTAATATTATAAAAATCAGGAATCAGGAATCAAATATTGATTATTTCATATAAAATAAAAGAAAGATGGATTAATGTTGTATTTTTGAACAGTGCAGGATTTCTAAAGTTTGTTATCTAAAAAATTTATAAAAATCGAATTAGAAATAAAATTGTAAATATTTTCTTTAAAAGAATTTAATTAGATCAAATATCGATCCCTATTACTGTTCCATTTCTTATTCTGGTTTCTACAATTGTATTTGTTTAAGATAAAATTAGTTTAATTATTTATGAATGAGAGACTATTCCAATTTTGGATTTTGTCTAATTGTTTTTGAGTTTCTCTAAAAATACCTTCACTCGTTTTTCTGCATGTTTTGTTTTTTCTAAAGTGATATTTTAACCGTTTTTGACAAATTTATTAACTAAAAATTGTTCTTAGTCTTCTTTGCATGGTTTTAAACCTTAAATTTTTTCTTACTTTCCAATTAAAATAAATTACCAAAATTCTTTTTCAAATGGTAATTCACTTAAATCGAATTTGATCGGGCTATTATTCTAATTAAATGTTTCAGATTATACGTCTTATAGGATATTGGTCAGATTCCCCCATTTATAAATCGAATATTAACTGCTGATTTTCTCGCTGATATGAGGACACAAGATGAACTTTATTTAATCCTTTTGAGGGTGATCCTAGAACAATAACTAGGCTGTTTGAATAGTTCTGAATTGAAATAAGAATAGATGAATACCTTAATAGAGGTGAAATATAAACCACATCAAATTCCATCTGATTGATTTCGGGTCTCATCTTTTCGCATTATTTTTTGCCTAAGTAATGAAGTGGAGGATCCATCAATTCGTAACTATAAATATTCCTATCCCTGAATTCTGTTGCTCTTTTAAAGTAATTATGCCAAGCCAAAGCATGTCTGACTAAATCGATTTTTCAACATTGTACCGATGATATATTTGCTATTCTTAATGTTATGAGGTGTGCAATCCAATTGTATTTACAGTTTTTCCCATTCGTGATCCTCGTCATTCATATGGTGCAATTTATCCTCGAAGTCCTTTGCCTCTTATAATTTCTAGCCTAGTAGTTTGTAGCTTTCCCTCTATTCTACTGGACATCTCAATAAGGATCAACATTTACATCTGAGACAAACTGTCGGTATCAAACACAATTTTTTATTACATTAATTTTTGATATTTCAATAAAAGATTAGAAATATGCGAAATGGAATGTTAATATACTTCCTAAATTAGAGTGAAATAAAAGTTAATTTTTATTTGTTTAATCTAACCAGTTTTTTATATTGATAATTAATATTAATATAAAATGTCTTTGAATGCATAGTTTCCTAAGCAAGTGCCCTTTCTTCCTGGACACGTATTTTCAGATCCCTACAAGGAAAGCCATCACAAAACCTAATAATTTTCAAACATCAATGGAACTGTGCAAGAAAAAACAAACTTCATTCATGAAGAGTTTGATCCAAATTTGTTGGACTCAATGAAAATGGGAACGCCCCCTAATCTCACTTACGGTAGTAGATAACCACCTGAAAATGACTATATCCCACGAATTCAACCACCTTGGTTGAAATATGATCGAGCTGTTTTACGATTTTATTCCTACTTCCAAGAATCAGTAGTTGAAAATCCCCACGAAAACTATAGAATTAGACAAGTCATCATCTATTATTACCTTTCTGATGGAACAATCCATGTTACCGAAGTAATAAATTAAATAACTGTAGCCTCGAGTATAAAATTCAGGCATTCCTCAAGGCCTCTTCATCAAGAGATAGAAGATACCAAAGAAACTAGGGAAATAAGACTTTTATACATGGGAGGATCTCCAATTATGCTCGAACATCAATTTCTATGATAGAGTATGATTTTCAACTTCAATTAGGTGTATCGAATTTGTGACTGTGACACCTACACTAGGGAGTTCTATGAATATATGGGCAAACCCTTGTCTTTGCCTGAGCAATTGCCAAGAGATAATTTTCAAGCCCAAAAAGAAACAAAAGACTTGAAAATCAATCCCCCAGACACCAAAGAGTACAAAGAGTACTTCGAAGTTAAATTGGGAGGAGGACATCCCAATGGAGGATTGAATAAATACCTCAGCAATGACAGAAAGGTGTTGTCTTTTGATATCATTTGGGATGATGCTTCCATAGAAGGCTAATTAAATTATTACACTCTCAATTATTATTTGGCAGATGACACGTGTGAAGTCAAGGAAGTTAGAAAGCAGAATTCAGGAAAAGACCCATATCCACTTATGTTGAGAAGGTAAAAGATACCAAAATCACCAATCTTAACTCATTATCCAGGAATGACCTTGAAAAAGGAGGAATTTTACAGTCCCCAGGATCTTATTTGCGGAAACTAAGTCAGGATCTATGGAAGGGATTGCTTCATCTATGGATGTGATGATTTCACTAAGGAATACTACTTAAAAGTTTTAGGAATCTAATAAAAGTAACATTCTCAATTACAATAAATAGACCAGCCACATTGAAACAAGAGAGAGGCAAGAAGTTCTATCAACCAGTGCCTCCTTATAATGGATATGGATACGAGGAGGATTCTTTGGGTTCAGTTTATTCCTTGTAGCCTAAACCTCCTAAGAAGGATGTGAGGAAGAATTTTACCTAGGATTAATTTATTTTAAGATTTGAATCAAGATTAATTAGCGAAGTTAGAGAAGAGAATTCCAGAAGATTTATCATTTCCTTCTATTGTGGAGATGATACTGTGTAGGTGTATCAAACTTCAGAAAGAAATAGCGGAATTTGGGTAATTTGATGATGTGATATAATTCAAGGGTGGCAAGTTCTAAGAACGATCTAGGTAGAAAAACCCATTGACTAATGATTATTACACTGAGAAAGTACTATTTTATTGAGATTAATAAAGGATTTCCAATTGGGAGCTATTGTGCAATTCAATGTTTACAAGTTTTAATTGATGAGGGCTGATGAGTTCACTGTAAATTATATGAAGCAGAAGTCTGATGTCTTCAAAGAGGCAGATATTAAACAAATAATTGCCAAGTTGAGGTTGTTTGCAGACAATTATCCTAATTTTGACTCTTTCTTATTGGATCTAATGAAGTAATTGGTGTTTCGATTAATATTCTCTTAGGAAACTAGATAAGCAATTGAAGGGACAGATTGAGTTTGAAGAACTTGCTGCTGGATTGCATGAGCTAGGGTTCAATTTAACATTACAAGAGCAATATTATTTGATGAGGGAATTCGATGTCAGTGGAGAATGGAAATTGAACATGTAGGCATTTTGGGAAGGAATCGGAGGCAAAAGATCTTGAAAATAAATTTATTAGAAAATAATATAACATTAACTTATGCAAATTAAAAAAAGACATTCAGTAAACCCTGAATTATAAGTCAAAATTCTAAATGGCTAGTACAAATCAGTTTGCAAATCATAGCATATGATAGTTACTAAGGATGTATAGCCATCTCCTATTAAATTGATCAGAAAGTAAGGGAGACATACCCAAAGTTTTATTAACACTCATTAGTCTCTGCATATTTGTAATAATCCTACTTATTAACTTATTCAATAATGTATTACTGCTGCAGAAATGATTAAGGAGAAACATAAAACCAAGACTACTCATAAATTTTTTCATATTCGATCCTGTTCTGTGCCATGTCCTAAGATCCAGGCTATCGATCAATTAGTTGACTCCTTATTGGATGATGCTGATTCCTAAATCATTAAGGAATAAAAGAATTTACAGTAAATTAATATGCTTATATTAAGAGTAGAAATTTAAACTGTTATGAATTAATTAATTGAAGAAAAAAAATAGAAATAAAAAGCGATATCCCAAGGGGAAAGCCTATTTAAATAACAAGATCTTTCCATATAATATCTAGTAATCATTTAAATATATTTCATAGAAATCTAGAATTGAATAGTATAAATAATTAGTTTGAATGACAAAAGCTTAATGCATATAGTTTTATTAACTTATTCAGTCTTATGACTTAATCTCCCTCTTAAAAATTAACTAATTCATCCTAAATCATATAGTTTATATTAAAAATTATTACAAAAAATCAAAGTGATATTTACGTATTTAGTAAAATATCAAGAATATTTAATTTATTAATGATCAAAAGATTATCAAAGCAGATATTGAAAATGCCTTAATTGTATTTGACAACAAGAATGATTGCTCCATTTTCTTAGCATAATCACAATCATTCTCACGATCATGATCATAATCATAATCATGATCATTCTCATCCAGATTTCTAACCATAATAAAAGGCCTAGCCATAATTCACACAAGAATAGATTTAATAGAAACATAAGGAAATTGATAATGTAAAATTCATATATATATCATTCACAGATCATAAAGTCTAATCAAGTGGTGTTATTTATGAAGGGAACACCTGCCCAACCAATGTGTGGATATTCAAATTACGCTGTTTAGGTTCTGTAATTCTACAAAGTCCAAAATTATCACTCTGTTGATGTTCTTTCAGATCCTTTGATGAGAGAAGAAATCAAGAAATATTCAAACTGGCCCACCTTCCCACAATTGGTATTACTTTATTATTATTATAAAAGTATGTCAAACAAGAGTTAGTTGGCGGATGCGACATCATGATGGAAATGCACAAGGAAGGCACATTAAAGGAATTATTTAATAAAATATGATTATTAATTATATATAATATATATTGAATGTTAAAAATAGAGGAACAAAACTATTCAAGGCAACTAATAAAACAAGATAAAGAACTCTCATAATTTATAAAGTACCTCGAGATGCAAAATGATGTAGCTGAAAAAAACAAGGAGAAAGAATTTAGGATGAAACAGAAAGAATCACTCATACTTGGATAAAGGTAGGAAAAGAAACAAGAGCGTGAATTTTAAGCTAGATTAAAGTAATTAGAATTGTCAACAATCAGAGAAAAATATGATGAGTCATAAATGATGAAGAATTAAGTAAATGATTAATTATTATTCAGAGTCTTGAACATAAATTGAAGAATTAAGAATCCATACATAATTAAATATTACAAGCGGCTAAACTTAATAGAGAAGAAAAAGCTAGCATTAGAAATCTTCACTTAAGAGACTCTGTAGATCAAGCAATTGCAAAGGCCAATTAAATTCAATAAGACAAGGTGGATCATTTTAACTATTAATAAACACGCAAAGACTAATATTTGTCTTAATTGCAAAGTGAAAAGAATTTAAAACAATTAGAAAAATCAATGAATTTTTAAATTAAGCAAGAGCTAAATGATTCCAATTACAAAAAAGCCTAAGATATATTAAATGAAAGAATTTATAAGACTTTGAATAAATTGGACTAAAAGGACTCCTTGTCATAATAAATTCAAATTGAGAATTAAAGAAAATTAAATAATAAATTATTTTCTCAAAAAGCTTCCTTAGAAAATGGATTAACAAATGCTGATTATGCAAAAGCACGATTCGAATAAAATTTGAATATGAAGAAATCGATGACAGAATATAAAATGAACAAATTAGATTAAATGATGTAAAAGAATTATTAATGAATGTTTATTAGGAGGGAGAAGCAGTTGCTGTAGCAATAGGAAAGAGAAACAAGAGTTATGGTGGAAAAAAAGAAATATTAATTGAAAGAAGAATTTGAGAGAAAAATGAACTTGCTTTAAAAATAAAAGTATTGAGAACTTTTTGGAATTTACTATATATGCTATATTATTAAAATCGAATTTTCAATGATATTTTGCACCAAATTTGAACTTTTTGTAATCTTGGATGTAGTTTTCAGTCCATTAGCTTAAGAAATCGTAAGGTTTTTTCTAAGGAAGCTCCTATTATTATGCATTGCTTTAGAGGGAAGGCTATTCGACTTCTGCAATTTCACATTCAGTCGATATAGTTGATGAAAGTGGATTTAATGGATTTAATGTTATTGTGTAAATAGCAGTTACTTTTTTTAGCTTTCTAATTCTTCTTTCCTTTTTCCCAATCCTACCTTCCTTGATGTATGTATTAATAATTGATTTGCAAGTTGAGGGTAAAACTTTGAATTCCCTTGCAACCTATGATAATTAAAAAGATTTACTTCCAGTATTAATCTCTTATTCACAAGTACTTCATGTATAATTTATCTCCTATCCTATTTTGAAATTTTGCAATACTATTTATGTTGTTCCATTTAAAATTTAATATTAATATTAATATTTATTATAAATTAGAATGCCAATAGTTTCTTTACTCGTTAGGTGCAACAATCAAAATTAGTTTATTTCTGCATATCTTAATTCTCGGATATTAATGATGATCAATTAACTGTTTTCCTCATTATGTTGTATTTCTTAATGAATTCTTCATTTTATTATTTAATTAATATAATGACTCTATAATAATTTCTTTTTTTTTTCTTATTACTAAATTTTATTTAAATCCATAGAAATGGAACCAACTCTTGTAATTTATTTAATTTATTTTAAAAAAGCCATCCCGATTTTAAGATTTCAAACTCAGTAAATATAGGTTTGGTAGGCCTTAAACATTCAAATTTTAAGAAATTTTACACTTCATATGTATTAGCATCAAAGGAGGGAAGAAAATAACCAATTCTTATAAATACTTTTATTTTTTATTTGAATTGAATTAATCCAAGTAATTCCTTGTCAGAAATTTTTTAATACAATTTAATCAAAAATTGGTCTTACAATATTTTTTAATAAATACTTAATCCAATGTAAGAGAGGAACTGTCCTTGTTGTTGTTGTACATAGAATGAGAATGAATTTGTAACAAGCAAAGATTGCCAATGCATTTATTGTTATTCATGTTTAGTTGAATAAATAAAAGTGAAAAGAGATGAAAAATGTTTGGCATGTCAATAAGAACTAGATTTTCTTAAAATATTCCATGAAACTAAATATGAACCTTAAATATAGGAAATTTTATGCATTAAATACTTATAGAGTTCATAGGACGTTTTACCTTGTCCTAAGGCTGATTGCAAATATTATGGTATAATTCCTGATGATTGCGATGGAAATTATGAATGCGAAAGGTGTCATACTATTTGGCGTGAACAAAATATTACATTTTTTAATAAGCAGAAGTTGTTTACTAGAGTTATGCAATTCTTTTTGACGAAACATTGTCCCTAATGCAATGTCCTAATCTAAAAGAATGGAGGATGTCCACAAATGAAATGTCAGCATTGCAGATTTTAATTTTGTTGGGATTGCAATTAAGATACCATAAAACACATACAATTCAACTGCTTATTAATAAAATCATTTCACATCCTGATATTTCTCAGCTGGGGACTCTAATTACTATACACCATGGGATTTTTCGATATATTCACTTAAATACTTGGCTTTATCTTGCACTATTTGCTTATTTGTATTACATGTCCTTTACTTATAACTCTACCAGTGTATTCAATCTACCTAGCATTTTATAAAAAGAAATTTAAGGAATTCACAATGGTATTTTTAGCAATACTACCGACTTTACGTTTTAAAGATTTCTTGTAACTCGACTGGGACACCATATTGAGTGTGAGTGTTTTTGAGATTGCGGTGATGGTCTTGGTCATAATCAAGAAATACAATAAGTGATTATATTTTGTATTATACTATAATTATAATAATGGATAATTGGAGGCAAAATAATTAAAGGCGATTTGTTCTTGATAATGGCTCTTATTAAATTAGATATGGAAATGATGTTTAGAAACACAAGCAATTGAATCTAATAGCTCATCTAAAAAAGACTGGGCAAATGATTTATGAATTTGATTCATTGTTTGATGAATCTCAAGTGATGACATATTACAAGCCTCACGTAAGAGGAGTCCTCGTAGATTTCGATAAATAAATCAATATATGGTATGAAGCTGCTTAATCGATTATAGGGATAAATTTCTGAATCCAAAGCTTCTAAAGGATTGCTCAATCACATATCCATTTTAACCTTTTACTCCCGATTAAGTAGTTAACAAACTTTTCGATGTGATGTTCGAGTATTATAATGTTGATGCATTTTGCCCAATAAACACTTAGAAAATGCTCTATTATAATGTTTTGGCCAGAGAAGGAGTGCCCAGAAAACAATTCACATATATAATTGACTCTAGTCACAGTGCTACTTATTTGGTACCAATATTTGATGGTGAAATCATGTATAGTGGTTTGAGAAGAATTGACATTGGTGGTAGATTGCTAACAAATTAATTGAAGGACAACATCTCCTTCAAATAGTTTGATTTAAAAAACTATTTCCTATTGAGCAGTAAAATCAAAGAGCTATTATGTTTTGTTTCCATGAATTACTTTCAAGATATGAAAAAGCCAAAAAACCATTTTCGTAAATACTACATTTTGCCAGATTTTGAGATTAGGAGAGAAGGATATGCCGTTGATCTATTGAATGTTGGATTTCTAGATGAGAAGCTTACTCTTGATAAAGAAAGAATCACAATACCTGAGATTTTATTTAGACCAACTGAAATCGGATTGGCTTAAAAAGGACCTACTGAAACCTTTTTTGATAGTTTATCAACAATACACAAAGATATACAAGGATATTTTGCAGAGAATATTTATATAAGTGGAGGAAACAGCTTCTTTAGTTCTTTTTATGATAGAATATCTAATGAGATAAGACAGAATTGTTCAGTTGATTGGAATGTTAATTTGACACATCTTGATGATATCGACTCTGTGTTTTAAGGGTCGTTGCATTTCAATAGAAGTACTGAATTTTAGAATGCCTGCTTTACTAAGGCAGAATATTAAGAGAAGGGTTTTGAAAATATCAAATAATATATAATATGAAATAATTTTGTATATATCTGTGTTGTTTATATATTGTAATGCAATAATAATAAAGTCAAAATTGAATTTCACTAATTTTGGCTAATCACTTTTCACTTTCATTCTTTGAATTTCCTTATTAATGAGTTATTAGTTGCTATTCTTGAGGTTATTATATATCAGTTTATATGTTTTATAGTTATTGATTGGTTACTGGTACGACTGAATAGCCAAATTTATTATGATATGCTGCAATTAATTGTTCGTTTGATTTCCCTCTGCTATCAAGCAAAAAGAAGTGACAATAGATAAAATATAAATAGTCAATAATAGCAAAGAATAAAAAGGCACCAAATATTTTAAGATTCTTTTCCATAAAAGGGAAACAGAATACAACAATCGCTTAAAATGCCCATCTAAATTCTGTAGCAATGAAGGTTCCATCACTATCATTTAGTTATGGTACAATACTCTAAAAAGATAGTAATTTATTATTCATACCCATGCAGCTGGACCTAAAGTGGATCCAAATGTCATCACCAATAGTAATAGCAAAATAAAAATAGCTAATTCATTTCCAGCTGATACATTTCTAGAAATAATTGAAACAGCCAAATTGAGTGATCCAATTAAAAAAGATCCAATCACTTTATTTATATTATAATTAAGTACTTAAAATATATTTGTTTCCCAATTTATTCACCATATAGATTGTAAAAAACTGAGAAACGAATCCTGATAATCCTAAACAGAATGTATATATAGTTTTCTAAACAACATCATCATCAGCCATATCAGAGAATATTTAAGCACTATAATAAAACACTGCAAACACTCCGCACCATATTTATACTAACATCTAATTGTTAAATAATTGTATACTGATATTATTCCAGTCTATAAAGTAACAAGTTTCTTTCTTTCAAAAATACTCAAAAATGATTTATTATTTTATTTCTACTATTCAGTTGCCATCTTCTGATACCTTTCAAATTGTTCATCAACATATTGATCTTTGTAAATGGAGCAAATGACCTATTTTATTGATTGATTTAATACATATTTTGCCTTTTCCAAGTTTCCCCTCTATATCAATTATTCAGGACTGTCATAATTAAATACAAATTGCATTATACATGAACGTAAGATGCAGATGACTGTTGGGAACAAGAACACCACTCTCCACCAATTCGAAGATGGTCCAGAATAACTAAAAGGATTATTTCAGTTAAATACTCTATATATCCTATTCCCATCAATTATCCAATTGCATATCCTGTATTTATTCCATACCCAACGAACATACTAAATTAACCGAAATATTATTATGGACATAAGGACTTTATATACACTGGCATCAAATAACTGGATATTCCATTGGAAACTCCGAGAAAAAATCTGACAACAACAATTAGATAATAGTCAGCTATAACAGCTAGCAGACTAGTTATTCCTATTAGATCAGCTATGTGAAGACACTATTTGTTTGTAAATTTTTATTTTAACAAGTAACCAACAAACACTCCAACTACATTTCCTAATGGAAGAATTCCAGCAAGTAAACTTAGTCTTTCTGTTTTTTCCTCTGCACTTATACCCCTAAATGTATAGATAAACATTCTTACAGCACTGCGAAAAGGGTATCAATTGACAAAGTTAAGTATGTAACCACATACCCAATATTTAGTGATCCCAGGGCAATGTTTAAGCTGATCATTAAGGTTTATGCTTTAGATCGCACCATTTATTCTTAGCTTTATGACATAATTAAGCAAAATGTAAATTGTGAAATAAATTATTAATCTTGAGATATGTTGCTATTCGATATTTAAATTCAAGAATCTTTTTCTTCCGGTAATTTATAAACATTAATATATATTATCAATTAATGAGAATTCTAGATAATAATTATAATTTAATGCATAATAATTACAAAGCTTTACATCATATTTAGTAATATTTAAGATCATCAATTATCAATTGACATCTTAGATTTGTAGGCCTCATAATTCAGGCATTTGATTACAGAAGTTATAACATTATCAAATCGGTACATTTTGTATATAATTAGATAGCAAACCTACTCCTCGAGCCCTATGAATAATAATCCAAATCAGCAAATCTGTTCTAGTTCTACAAGTACCACTATAGCTTTCCCCATAATAATATTACAAAATGTAAGACAAAAATTATATTAAAAACCATCAATAGTTGTTTTGTCTGTTAGAGTTTTTCTTTTAAAATAGCCAAATATGAAGGTAAGTGTTTCTCCATTGTTAAAACTTCACATCTCACTAACATTAAATAAGATACCAGTTATTCTTGGGCTTATTGTATTACACATAATATTTTAATAAAGCCAAAAATTCTGATCAATTTTTCTTATGAGAAGAATAATCAAAAAGAATTGATCACATAACTTCTTTTAATTATAAACATCATATATAGACATATATAAAAGGTAAACTAATAGAGATAAGTAATTGGGGTATATAACAAAGTTAGATCAATTTTTGTAAATATAATTATATGTGTATGAAATCCTTCTAAATTATGATCCAAGAAATTTGATATCTAAGAATAGTTTGATCGAGAATTCAAGAAAATCAATCTTAAAATTTTGAAAATACTCATGCAAGACTAGATACATGTGATAGCCAATAAATCAAATTGAAATTCATTAATAATAAAGAATATTTGTTAAGATTATGTTTTTAATATTTCTTTTTTATTGATTTATTAATCAAATCTATAATCTATTATATGTAAATTTATTTACTCTTAATCTTAATTTGTTTCATTTTCATCTCCAATTTCTTTTAGGCATTAATCTTAAAATTATGATTTATTTTTACCTTTGTAACTCTTAGCGTCTTCGTTTTGGGGGTAAGCTTCTAAAATAGTATTAAATATTGCTAAAGCTTCCTTTGGTTATTTAATTTTCAGTAAGCAAACGCCTAATTATTATATAAACTTACCCTTAAACATTTAGGCATATTAATTTCCAGGTGTTGAATCTAGAATCTTATCTAACAATTTGATCGAACTATTTTATAAATCTATACAAAGTAAGCATAAACCTAAATTAATTGAAATATTTTACTCTTCAAAAATAATATTAATAAATCCTAGGTTTCTATCTTTTCAAGGAATTCCAGAGATAAATTATAATTCTCATTACCAAATAACAAGAAACCTAAATTACTATTATAAGCAAACTTATTAACAAAAGGGCTTCATAATTTTATGGTGAAGTTTTTAAGACCTATTCAATCATTTTAATAGCTTCCTAAAAGTAACCGTCTAGACTTAGAAACAAAGCTAAATTATTTAGAGGGTTTACCATTTGATAAAGTTTTATAAGTACCATCATAGCCTAATGTAGATATTCGTTTAAAATATGAAAAAAGTTCATTTTTTATTGTACCTCCATCTTCCCCTTTAAATTATACTCTCCATATTCCTAAGTATATGTGACAGACCCCTTATGATATTATTTATTTTAACCTAAATAAAATGCAGCTTCATCATAGTTTTCGTCAATTTATACTGCTAAATCATATTCAATTATTGCTTTATCAATTTTCATCTGCTATCTTAAACATTCGCCTTGAATATTTTATTTATTTACCAAAACCAAATAAAAGGACTGAATCATTTTGTTTTTATGATTTTGCTTTTATGTAAAACTTCTCTGCTTCCAAATATTTTTGAGTTGCCCTTAAGGAGTTGGCTAAATTATTAATAAGAAATACCCTTTCCCAAATTTGCTTTAAAGTTATCTGGATTAATTTAGAGGGCCTAATCATAAATATCTAAGGCTCTTATAAAATCCCCTTTTTTAAATAATTCATCTCCTGAAAAATGATTAAAATTTATAAATATACCCATTTAAGGCAACAAATACTCATCGACATTTATTTTATCATATAAGGAGTAATTATTATAAATTCCGTCAAGGGTTTTCTAAATGTTACTTGCAAATCCATCGATCGAGGTTTTTAATAATCTCTCGAGTTCATCATATTGGAAAGAGTAATTAATAAGTTACTCTAATTAAATTGTATTCATTGTTTTAAGTGCTAACTCTAAACTAAATATCTTATTTTCTATTTTAGAGAGGAAGATATCCAGAGCGGATTTTATGCTTTCAAATTGTTGTTTAGTATTTGAGATCACACCTTTTACATTTTTAGAAGAACTAAAAACAAATTCTTACAATGTATCTAAACTTTGTATCTCATTTGTGTGATATTAATGGTATTATTCCGATAAACATTTCTGACAACATACTCTATTATCAGAGCAATTTTTATTGTGACAAAAAATTGCACATACTCTTCTCTGTGATTAGAACAAAATAAATGTTATTTCGAATCTAATGGAGGATTTTATTACATTATTTTTAATTAATTAATTTAGATATGCCGCCAGGAAATTAAATAGGATAAAAATTATAATCAATTTTATTTTATTAGTCTCTGGCATTTATTTGATTAATCTAATATAATAAATTAATTTGTTTGGTTTGTTAGTGTAAAAAATTCCATTATTTTCTGAATATAATTAGTATTCTTGTAGAATTCCTTTTGATGCCTGAGAAGTCAGTGGAGTTATAAGCGGCAGAAGGAATTCTATTAATTTGTTTCTTCTGCTCACTTTCAATTATCAAGATTAAATACAAAGTTTATTTTAATCTTTGTCTTTTTATCGCATAATTATTAATAGTATTGATTCATTATAAGGATGGTGCCATTGCATATTACACTATTTTTTAAAGTTGCATGATGTTTATAGTTCAATATCATTTATTTTTCTAGGATTTAGGTACTTTCAATAATAAAAGATCTTTAGAACTAAAAAAATTATAAACTTAAAATCTAGTGAAGTATCTATTACCTACTCATATATTAAAACAATTCTTATCTAATAGTAATTAAAGAATGGTCTTAGTAGATCAATTTGAAGAAGCTACTCTATTATTTGCAGATATAGCTGGTTTCACTGAATACTCAAGTAGAGTAGAACCTGAATAAGTTGTGAATATGTTGAGGAATTTATTTACTGAATTCGACAAAATATGTTTAACACAAAATGCTTATAAACTATATACAATTGGAGATTGTTATGTTGCATTCGGCATTGTGGATGTTACATAAAGAAATCCAGCTCAAGAAGCCAAAAATGTTGTTGAATTAGGATTTAAAATGATAGAAATTATTAGATAAGTGAGATCAATTATCTAATTTGATGGATTAGACATGAGGATTGGAATACATACAGTATTTATCATATTCAATATTAGGGTAAAGTGATTGGAGGAATCTTGGGAACTGAAATTGTAAGATATGATGTTTATGGGGCTGATGTTATGATTTCTAATAAAATGGAGTCTAATGGAGAAAGAGGAAAAGTCTAAGTCTCTGAAGAAACTAAGTAATTACTAGAACAATCATATCCAGATCAGTTTTTATTTACATTCAATAAAGAAGTAGAATTTAAATCCATCAGTCGAAAAACTTAAGGATACTTTATTGATCCAATAAAAAATGATAGCAATCAAGATTTTCATGATATGAATCACTTCTAATTTGTAAACGATCTAGAACAATATCAAAATACTCCATAAAAATGAATATCTGATCTCCTATTCAATATTTAATATAAATTTATTCATATCTATAAGATTATTTGAATATTATTTTTAGTTAATTATTTCTACTTTCATTATCNATTAAAAAGAACTCGCATAAGAATTCATGGATTAGAAAGAGGGTATAAATATAGTATTTATGCTTTCTCTACATTTCATTTAGTTCATATCGAAGACTGTTACACTATTGTATTTGTAAGATTAATAGAATTGGGTTCTAGTATTTGTAATTCGATTTATAGTTTCCATCTTGTTATTGACTTTGGCTATTTTACAACACAAAAAGTTAAAGCATAGATTTTATAAATATTAATACTTTTTAATAACTTACTTTGGCATATTAATTAGTATTCTTGTAGAATTCCTTTTGATGCCTGAGAAGTCAGTGGAGTTATAAGCAGCAGAAGGAATTCTATTAATTTGTTTCTTCTGCTCACTTTCAATTATCAAGATTAAATACAAGGTTTATTTTAATCTTTGTCTTTTTATCGCATAATTATTAATAGTATTGATTCATTATAAGGATGGTGCCATTGCATATTACACTATTTTTTAAAGTTGCATGATGTTTATAGTTCAATATCATTTATTTTTCTAGGATTTAGGTACTTTCAATAATAAAAGATCTTTAGAACTAAAAAAATTATAAACTTAAAATCTAGTGAAGTATCTATTACCTACTCATATATTAAAACAATTCTTATCTAATAGTAATTAAAGAATGGTCTTAGTAGATCAATTTGAAGAAGCTACTCTATTATTTGCAGATATAGCTGGTTTCACTGAATACTCAAGTAGAGTAGAACCTGAATAAGTTGTGAATATGTTGAGGAATTTATTTACTGAATTCGACAAAATATGTTTAACACAAAATGCTTATAAACTATATACAATTGGAGATTGTTATGTTGCATTCGGCATTGTGGATGTTACATAAAGAAATCCAGCTCAAGAAGCCAAAAATGTTGTTGAATTAGGATTTAAAATGATAGAAATTATTAGATAAGTGAGATCAATTATCTAATTTGATGGATTAGACATGAGGATTGGAATACATACAGTATTTATCATATTCAATATTAGGGTAAAGTGATTGGAGGAATCTTGGGAACTGAAATTGTAAGATATGATGTTTATGGGGCTGATGTTATGATTTCTAATAAAATGGAGTCTAATGGAGAAAGAGGAAAAGTCTAAGTCTCTGAAGAAACTAAGTAATTACTAGAACAATCATATCCAGATCAGTTTTTATTTACATTCAATAAAGAAGTAGAATTTAAATCCATCAGTCGAAAAACTTAAGGATACTTTATTGATCCAATAAAAAATGATAGCAATCAAGATTTTCATGATATGAATCACTTCTAATTTGTAAACGATCTAGAACAATATCAAAATACTCCATAAAAATGAATATCTGATCTCCTATTCAATATTTAATATAAATTTATTCATATCTATAAGATTATTTGAATATTATTTTTAGTTAATTATTTCTACTTTCATTATCNCATGATCTATCATAAAAATTAAGAAGAGATCTCTATATTGAAATATTAGATGAAGCACCAGATTATGAAATTGAAATTGAAAAAATATAATTTGATGAAGATGAACAATTTCAAAGTGAAGATTTATAGTTAGAAAAAACTAAATTCTATTTAGATTTCAAACATAATTAAAAAGAACTCGCATAAGAATTCATGGATTAGAAAGAGGGTATAAATATAGTATTTATGCTTTCTCTACATTTCATTTAGTTCATATCGAAGACTGTTACACTATTGTATTTGTAAGATTAATAGAATTGGGTTCTAGTATTTGTAATTCGATTTATAGTTTCCATCTTGTTATTGACTTTGGCTATTTTACAACACAAAAAGTTAAAGCATAGATTTTATAAATATTAATACTTTTTAATAACTTACTTTGGCATATTAATTAGTATTCTTGTAGAATTCCTTTTGATGCCTGAGAAGTCAGTGGAGTTATAAGCAGCAGAAGGAATTCTATTAATTTGTTTCTTCTGCTCACTTTCAATTATCAAGATTAAATACAAGGTTTATTTTAATCTTTGTCTTTTTATCGCATAATTATTAATAGTATTGATTCATTATAAGGATGGTGCCATTGCATATTACACTATTTTTTAAAGTTGCATGATGTTTATAGTTCAATATCATTTATTTTTCTAGGATTTAGGTACTTTCAATAATAAAAGATCTTTAGAACTAAAAAAATTATAAACTTAAAATCTAGTGAAGTATCTATTACCTACTCATATATTAAAACAATTCTTATCTAATAGTAATTAAAGAATGGTCTTAGTAGATCAATTTGAAGAAGCTACTCTATTATTTGCAGATATAGCTGGTTTCACTGAATACTCAAGTAGAGTAGAACCTGAATAAGTTGTGAATATGTTGAGGAATTTATTTACTGAATTCGACAAAATATGTTTAACACAAAATGCTTATAAACTATATACAATTGGAGATTGTTATGTTGCATTCGGCATTGTGGATGTTACATAAAGAAATCCAGCTCAAGAAGCCAAAAATGTTGTTGAATTAGGATTTAAAATGATAGAAATTATTAGATAAGTGAGATCAATTATCTAATTTGATGGATTAGACATGAGGATTGGAATACATACAGTATTTATCATATTCAATATTAGGGTAAAGTGATTGGAGGAATCTTGGGAACTGAAATTGTAAGATATGATGTTTATGGGGCTGATGTTATGATTTCTAATAAAATGGAGTCTAATGGAGAAAGAGGAAAAGTCTAAGTCTCTGAAGAAACTAAGTAATTACTAGAACAATCATATCCAGATCAGTTTTTATTTACATTCAATAAAGAAGTAGAATTTAAATCCATCAGTCGAAAAACTTAAGGATACTTTATTGATCCAATAAAAAATGATAGCAATCAAGATTTTCATGATATGAATCACTTCTAATTTGTAAACGATCTAGAACAATATCAAAATACTCCATAAAAATGAATATCTGATCTCCTATTCAATATTTAATATAAATTTATTCATATCTATAAGATTATTTGAATATTATTTTTAGTTAATTATTTCTACTTTCATTATCATTAATAATCATCTTGAAAGTATTCAGAAATAATTTATCAAAACAATTGCATGCACTAAAGACTATTCTAATAAATTTATATTATAAGTAATTAAAAAAAAGAATTATAAAATGTTCAAGCTCATAAACATCAATTTAGTATAAAGATTCCTACTGAAATAATATTATAAAAATTAAGGACTTGTTATTTTATAAATTCTATATTTTATTTATTTCTCTTTATTTCAATATTGGTAAATAAGTATGAATAAGAATAAATACAAGTTTAAAATTATATAGGAAGAATTTTCATTAAACATCTCTTTATATTATATAAGTAATAATGAATTATTTTAATATTGTTATTAAAACTCACTTACTGGTTTTCTCTAATAAGGCTACATAGTTTTGCTGAACCTTTAACAATTTAATTTTCTCTTATTTTTCTATTTCTTTTTATGTAACAAAAATGCTTTTAATAAAGAGTTAATTCATTGCCGATATTAGCATAATAGGAACACTAAACACTGATACGCAAATGTTTGGTATTAACAATCCAATTTTTTTAATACTATCTAAACTCTTCCATCTATATTGTAAAAATTCTTGTAAATCATGATAAATAAACGTAACTTTTGTAAAAAGTTTAAGAAGGACTATTAATTGAGATTTAAAATAGTAAAAATCAACTGTTTAAGGATCCTATTTTTCATCATGAAATTTTATTATGATATTATTAAATTGATTAAGTTCATTAATCTAATCTTATATATTCTGAATTATTAGTTGTTTTGGTATATCTGAAAGTATGTTCATTTTTTTCACAAGTGTTTGAAATATTTCGCTATCTTTATCATTTATACTCATTGAATTATCAAAAAGCATCTTAGCAATAAAATGATGTGTTATAAGATTTAAGAGTTGTTGATAAAAATTCTTTCGATGAGGTAATAACTTATCTATATGATACTTCAATTCAGGAGTTAACTAGAATTCAAACTTCAAAGATTTATCAATATCTTAATTTTCTTACAATATTTTTTCCTTCCTTTTTAACAAATTTTTACATTTCTCTAAAACATCTTCCCTAATATTTTGTATTTTTTTTTAGAATAAATTCTCCTAACTCAGATCTTTTAACTTCTATTTTTTTAGTTAGATTTATGCTTCTAGTGCCTAGCGGTCTTCCAGACTCTCATTATCAAAATATTAATCTTATAACTTTTTAATTTCTGATTGCAGTTATTGCACTTCTTCATGGATTTCATAGTGATCTGCCTAATAAATTTTGATATAATTTTCTTGATCTAGTGCTTTTTTAATGATATTCAAAATGTTTAATTATTTCTGATCAGTAATATCTTTCATTGTCTCAGTTGACCATTTGTTAATTATTTATTCCATAGTAGAAGCATTTCTAATTTTAGTGAATACAGGAATGATAAAATTTTCAAGATGTTCGTCTTTTTATTTTCCTAGCATATTATTAATTATAGTTATTGAATCGATTAAATCATTTTTAGTTGTTTAAAGCTGTTCTCCATCAATCATCAACAATATAATTTGTTAACTTACTCTAGTTATTGATTTAAAGATATTGAAATGATTAATACCTCTATTAATATCATAAGTATCATGTAATCCAGGAGTATCAACAAAAATATAATTACCAATCTCCAAATTTTCTGTCTAAAATGTTTAACTAACATTTGAATGAGACAACAGAATTTTATTATTCTTTACTTTTACATCAAACTTCTTATCCTAAGTAATAATAATATTCTCTGGATCATTAACTATATTCAGAAATGTACTTTTCCCAACTCTTGTCATACCAAATACAAAAACATGAGGTTTATCTAAATTGATATTTTATTGTTGAGGAATTATTCTCTTAACATATGCTAAGCTTTATGGAAGATATAAATCAAATTACTTAAACTATTAATTTATGTCCAACTTAATCTAGAACAAAGTTTTTTTTAAAACATCTTCATTGTAATAAATAATTTTTAATTTTTCGAAAATTTCAATATCAGATTCATTTAATTAAAATTGAAATTGAAGCAACTAATTGAATACTTAATTAGGTGATTTATCTTTTGAATATATTTTCAAATAAATTTCAAATTAGCTATTTTCTTAAACAATTGTGTTTAGATATTATATCATTTTCTCTCTATTAATATGTATGACCTTTTTAAATTATAATGCCATATCGTAAAAGTTCTATTCATTTAATATTATGCATATATCAGAAATAAGAGTTTTCAATTTATCTAAATATTGTGAAACATTTTAATTAGATTTTATTTCATTATTCAGATTGACTGGGAATTCAATCATTAGCAATATGTCTTTATAAAGTTGTAAAAGTTCTTTCTCAAATTCTTTTAATACTACATCAACCTAAGATTATACATACTGTTAGCATATAAATCCTATCCAATTAGGAACACCCTATTTATTTTAAAAGTAATTCAAAAATTCATCCAATAAAATAATAAATTAAATGTCAAATTTCTACTATTAATAATTTTTATTAAAATGTATTTTTTTAGATGAAATTTTACAATAGTTCATATTTTCTAAATTCTTTATATTATACACACATATGATATCTGATAACTTTTCGAAAGATCCATCAAGAATTTAATAAATACAATTTATTATCAGATCTTCAAATTGCTTATCATTTTAATTCTTTCTTAGAAAGTGAAACACAAATTTTATCTAAATATTATTTTAAGTTTTAATAAATTCCTAAAAAAATATTCTAAATCTCAATAAATTGTTTATGTTAATTTGTTGTTCATCATCTTATAGTAAATTATTAAAGTAATAGCAGAAAATAGATTATTATTCTCTTTTTTAATTATTAAATTAAAACTAGAATATTTATCCACCTTTCCATTATCTTTCTTTACTATTATTAATCGCTAACTTTGACATTTCATTAGAGTATCTTTGAGTGTTTGTTAGATCAAAATAAAATAAAAACTTTTGGATTTGATTTTATTAAATGGCTGGAATGGGTATTTTAATATCGTAGATTTGTTTCAATTCTTGGAAGAATCCTTCTTGCTACTCCATTAGATTAGTTCAATTTTTTTAGTTATTTTAATTAACATCATCATAGTTTTTGTAATTCTATTATTATTACATTTAATAATTTGCTGAATAATAATTAATTTTAGAAATTTTTGGAAACATATAAAATAATATTGATCAATTATTTAGTTTATCTTAAATCTTGTGATTTTGTAGAAAATAAGTTTGATAAAGATTTTATAAAATTACTAAATTTAACTTAAAAATAATGATCAACAACATCTTGATTAATTTTAATTTTTCTATATATTTGGAGACTGCCCTTCAAATGATTAGGTTTCAGAAAATGATTTAATTATATTAATGGGATCAGCTGACTTTTTGTTTACTCTTGTAGCTTATCTAAATGATTCACTACTAAAATACTTTAATAGCACTAACTTAGCTGATTATATAAATGCCTAAAGAAACAATATGGTTATTTATACTTCCTCTACATTTTCTCCAGTTTTTGCAGATGTTTCAAAAAATAAACTAAATTTATTATTATTCATGAAAGACTCAGCCTCTTCTGTTTGAACTTCTCTTGATAAATCACATTTGTTCCCAACTAAAACTTTAATAATCTCAGGATGTGCGTGTTATTCTATTTCATTCATCCAAATTGATAATTAATCAAATGATTCTTTTTAGTTGACACTAT